TGGTATAGCTGCGTGTGTCCCTCATGTGTGGTATAGCCCTGTGTCCCAAGTGTGGTGGCCCTGTGTGTGGGTGTGGTATGCACTGTCCCCAGGTGTGGTATAGCACTGTGTGTCCTCCAGGTGTGGTATAGCCCTGTGTGTCCCCAGGTGTGCGTAGGTGTGGTATAACTGTGTCCCCAGGTGTGGTGTATAGCCCCGTGTGTCCCCAGGTGTGGCGCAGCACCGTGTCCCCCCCAGGTGGTATAGCCCCGTGTGTCCCCCAGGTGTGTGTAACCCCCAGGTGTGGTATAGCAGTCCCCCCCCAGGTGTTGTATAGTCCTGTGTGTCCCCCAGGTGTGGTATAGCACTGTGTCCCCAGGTGTGGTATAGCCCTGTGTGTTCCCAGGTGTGGTCCCAGGCCCTGTGTCCCCCAGGTGTGGTATAGCCCTGTGTGTCCCCCAGGTGTGGTATAGTCCTGTGTGTCCCCAGGTGTGGTATAGCCCTGTGTGTCCCCCAGGTATAGTCCTGTGTGTCCCAGGGTGTGGTATAGCCCTGTGTGTCCCCCAGGTGTGGTATAGCTCCAGGTGTCTCCCAGGCTCCCAGGTGTGGTAGGTGTGTGTTCCCAGGTGGTAGTCCTGTGTGTCCCCCAGGTGTGGTATAGCCCTGTGTCCCCCAGGTGTGGTATAGCCGTGTGTGTCCCCAGGTGTGGCATAGCCCTGTGTATCCTCCAGTTGTAGTATAGCCCTGTGTGTCCCCCAGGTGTGGTATAGTCCTGTGTCTCCCCCAGGTGTGGTATAGTCCTGTGTGTCCCCCAGGTGTGGTATAGCCCCGTGTGTCCCCCAGGTGTGGCATAGCCCTGTGTGTCCCCCAGTTGTGGTACAGCCCTGTGTATCCTCCAGTTGTGGTATAGCTAGGGATGGGTTGCATCTGTCTAGGGATGGAGTGGCTACCCTGGCTGGGACTGCTAGGGTAACATGTGAGCACGGGGGTGGAGGAGACTGCAGTGGGAGCGGGTAAACAAAGTGAAAGGTTACAGGGAAATAGTGTTAGGAATGACGACAAAACTAAATTAGACAGCGAGTTAAAACCTAAACGCGGCAAAGAGAGTACTCAGAACACGACTAACTTAAATGTCTACTACGCTAACAGTAGAAGTATGAGAAACAAAATGGATGATATTAGGGCGTTGGTATGTACCGAAGAAATCGATATAATAGCATTCACTGAAACATGGATCAACCTAGACTCAAGTGAGTTACCTGTCGAATACCAAATTGCAGGTTACAAATTATTCCATACCGATAGGCAGATTAGGAAAGGAGGCGGAATGTCAAGCTATGTCAGGGATAATCTGAAGTGTGAAATAAATAAGGAAATAAAAACTGAGCGGAATACAGAAACATTTTGGATAGAATTAATCAATGGTAGGGAAAAATTAATCACAGGAGTAATATATAGACTTATCTGGAATGAAATGCGCAGGGCTTCCATACACAACAAAGTCTGTATAGTAGGCGACTTTAACTTTGGCCAAATAGATTGGATTGACCTTACGGGTAACTCAAAATCAACATATTACCGAACCTACCCGGGGTAATAATATACTCGATTTAGTTCTGTCGAACAGAGAAAACCTCATTAGGCATGTCGAGGTAGGGAACGAACTTGCAAACCGCGATCACAAAGAAATTAGATTCCAGTTAGATTTTCAGGGCAGCCGTAAGAAAAATTCCACAAAAGTCCCAGATTTCAGAAGGGAAAACTTTGATAGTTTGAAGAGGCAGATGAGAGAAGGGGTATCACGCATGGGGGTGAACTACTTGGACCTGACGATTGAAACGGACCTGATAACGAGATCTGAGGTTGCCGAGTTCCACGACAATTTAAATAATGAGTTACTTAATGCACAAAGGCAGAACATACCATACAAAAAACTCAGATCAAACAACAATGACCCTAAATGGATAAACAATTATTTAAAGAACATTAATGGTCAAAGAAAGGCTATAGGTAGGAGGATAAATCGTGGCGAAATTTACCTCCGGGATTATTATAAGGTATTGGCCGGTAGGGTTAAGACCGAGATAAGGAAAGCAAAGAGGAATAATGAGCTGAGGATAGCAAGGGAGGCGAAGACAAACCCCAAGGGATTCTATCAAATGTATCAAACTAAAACACGAGAAAAGATTGGGCCAATACAGTCAGATACCGGCGAGCTAACTGATAACGACTGAGAAATGAGCAATAATCTGAATAAATATTTTTCAACAGTTTTCACCACCGATAATTTAAACATGATACCCGAGGCACCGACTATATACAGAGATAGTGAAGAATAAATTAAGCCAGATAATAGTGACTAGTAACGATGTTAGTAAGCAAATAGAGAAACTAAAGCCTAATAAGTCACCTGGTCCCGATGAGATATTTGCCAGAGTATTAAAGGAATGTAAGAAAGAGCTTAGTATGCCCCTAGCAAAATTTTTTAACATGTCATTAAAAATGGGTGTAGTACCAGAATCCTGGAGGATAGCGAATGTAATACCGATTTTCAAGAAGGGAAATAGATCACTATCCTCTAACTACCGTCCAACCAGTCTACCATCAATTGTAGGTAAATTACTGGAAGCAATAATTTCGAACTATTTGAAATCACCTGGAGAAGCACCGATTGATCAATGATTCCCAACAAATGGCTTCACAAGCGGGCTGTTTTTGATTCAGTGGATGAGGGGCACAATTATGATGTGGTATATCTCGACTTTAGCAAAGCCTTCGACAGAGTCCCCCACGAAAGACGAATTAGAAAGGTAGAAGTGCATGGCATCAAAGGTAATATCCTTAAATGGATTAGGGCGTGGTTACGGGACATGAAACAGCGAGTGAGCATAAACGGCACTAAATCACATCGGAGCAACGTCACTAGTGTAGTTCCCCAAGGCTCAGTACTTAGACCATTATTATTTATTATATACATAAAGGACATAGATATCGGCATAGACAGCAACATAAGTAAATTTGCTGATGACACTAAAATAGGACGTGTAATTAAATCTGACGAGGACTCCGCAAAACTACAGGAAGATCTAAACAAATTTTTCGAATGGTCTGAAAAATGGCAGATGAAATTCAATGTGGACAAATGTAAAGTACTCAGTATAGGAGACGTAAACAGGGAAACCAGTTACCAGATGAACAACGATGCCATTGAGAAATCCGACTGCGAGAGAGATTTAGGAGCCATGATAAGTAGGAATCTTAAGCCAAGTAAACAATGTGTTTTTGCTCGTAACAAGGCTAATAAAGTACTTGGGTTCATACAAAGGAGTGTTAGTTACAAGACTAGCGAGGTCATCTTAAGCTTATATGTTGCGCTTGTGAGACCTCACCTGGATTACGCAGTTCAGTTCTGGTCACCGTATTACCGAATGGATATAGAATCCTTGGAAAGAATCCAGAGGAGAATGGCGAGACTAATCCCGGGCATTAGGAACCTTGAGTACAGAGACAGGTTAAAGCATCTTAATTTGCACTCCCTCGAGAGACGTAGAGCGAGGGGGCGACATGATAGAGGTGTATAAATAGAAGTCAGGGCTAAACAAAGGGGACATTACAAAGGTACTCAAACTATCCAACCAGGAGCGAACTCGGAACAATGGTTTTAAATTAGACAAATTTAGATTTAGGTGCGAAATTGGTAAACACTGGTTTGGAAACAGAGTAGTGGATGAGTGGAACAAATTACCAAATATCATCATTAACTCGAACACGCCGGATAGCTTCAAACATAGGTTGGATGCTTATATGAGCAATAAGGGTTGGGTGTAAATGGGACTGCCTAGTATGGGCCAATAGGCCCGCTGCAGTTTCCTCCATTCTTATGTCCTTATGTTCTTCTTAGGTGTGGTATAGGCCTGTGTGTCCCCCAGGTGTGGTATAGGCCTGTGTGTCCCCCAGGTGTGGTATAGCCCTGTGTGTCCCCCAGGTGTGGTATAGCCCTGTGTGTCCCCAGGTGTGGTATAGGCCTGTGTGTCCCCCAGGTGTGGTATAGCCCTGTGTGTCCCCAGGTGTGGTATAGGCCTGTGTGTCCCCCAGGTGTGGTATAGCCCTGTGTGTCCCCAGGTGTGGTATAGCCCTGTGTGTCCCTCCTGTGTGGTATAGCCCTGTGTGTCCTCCAGGTGGTATTGCCCTGCGTGTCCCCCAGGTGTGGTATACCCCTGTGTGTCCTCCAGTGTGGTATAGCCCTGTGTGTCCCCCAGGTGTGGTATAGCCCTGTGTGTCCTCCAGGTGTGGTATAGCCCTGTGTGTCCTCCAGGTGTGGTATTGCCCCGTGTGTCCCCCAGGTGGTGGTATAGCCCTGTGTGTCCCCCCAGGTGTGGTATAGCCTTTTGTGTCCCCAGGTGTGGTATAGCCCCTGTGTCCTCCAGGTGTGGTATTGCCCTGTGTCCCCCAGGTGTGGCATAGCCGCCTTGTGTGTCCCCAGGTGGTATAGCCCTGTGTGTCCTCCAGGTGTGGTATTGCCCTGTGTGTCCCCCAGGTGTGGTATAGCCCTGTGTGTCCCAGGTGTGGTAGGTATAGCCCCTGTGTGTCCTCCAGGTGTGGTATAGCCCTGTGTGTCCTCCAGGTGTGGTATCCCAGGTGTGTGGTATAGCCCCTGTGTGTCCCCCAAGTGTGTATAGCCTGTGTGTCCCCCAGGTGTGGTATAGCCCCTGTGTGTGTCCCCAGGTGGTATAGCCCCTGTGTGTCTCCCCCAGGTGTTGTATAGCCCTCGTGTCCCCCAGGTGGCAGCTCCCTGTGTGTCCCCAGGTGTGGTATAGCCCCTGTGTCCCCCAGGTGGTATAGCCCCCGTGTGTCCCCCAGGTGTGTATAGCCCCCTGTGTCCCCCCAGGTGTGTATAGCCCTGTGTCCCCAGGTGGTATAGTCTCTGTGTGTCCCCCAGGTGTGGTATAGCCCCGTGTCCCCAGGTGCGGTATAGCCCCGTGTGTCCCCCAGGTGTGGTATAGCACTTTATGTCCCCCCAGGTATGGGTGCTCACTGGAGACAAGGTGGAGACTGCGGTCAACATCGCTTACTCCTGCGGTCACTTCAAGCGGTTTATGACCGTCTTGTCTCTCACCAGCCTGCATGACCTCCACCAGGCGGAGTCTGTACTGCAGATGTGCTGGTAAGTCTCTTACAAAACTAAAAATAAAACAGATAATACATTAGAGGTGAGGTTAGGCTAACAAAGTACTTGGGTTCAATGCTAACAATTTTTTTTTTTTTTTTTACGGGATTAGTCCACGAAGGCACATGTCACTGACCCACATCGGGGCCTGGGCGGCGAAAATGTAATAATAATAATAATATAGTGGCGGTCTGACCACGTAAGGAGACAGACGTGTGCCCATAGGTGCTCCTGTCCTCCAGATCATCACAGTCTCTACCTACCCTTTCGCTGGCAAGTGTTGCCAACGATGGGAAGGGGGAGGGGGCGGGGTCGACATAAACGCCGCAGAAGAGGCGTCCCCTCTCTCATGGATACAGACATTTCTGATACGGATAGTCATCGTGCATCCCACACCCTGCAAGAGTCAGACCTCAGTGATAGTAACAGTAATGTTTCTATGGGAAACACTTGCCGGAGTGGCAACACCAATGCCAAGGGCAGCGAGCCTCCCCTCGCCACCCACCCCTCTGCCAACCAACCAAGTAAATTGCATCTGCTCTTCCCCAAGGGCTCACTGAAAACCGTTGAGGAACGGTTTAATTGGACAACAAAGTATTGAAGACAACACGGTCTCACCATTCAATTCCGAAAAGATAAGAACCGTAACTTTATCAAGTGTCAGACACCCAAGGTCTATGAAACACTTAGTACTGTTGGATAGGTGTTGTAATTGTGGTGGCTGGCTCAATGTTGACTCACAACAATGCCCCAAACGTCCGGCTGTCCCCGGAGAAAAGCCTCCCCGAAGGCTGAGTCTACCACAGTGCCCCCCAGTCTACCGGGCCACACCACTCTGCGTCCCCTCTGTCTCCAGCAACGCCTTCTTCAACAACACCTGCCCCTGCCTGGCCTCACCTGGCTGCAACACAGCAGTCCCGGCCGTCTCCTAACTCAACTACTACTACTGGGCCTCCTCCCCGTCTCTACTCTGATGCTGTCAGGCCTTGTGCTCCCATCGGTGACCCTCCACAACCCCCCTCCAGTGACACGACACAGATCATATCCCTCTTACACGAATTTACCAACTGTATTGAAAGACTCTTTGATACATTCTGTACCGCCATCTCCAACCTACACAGACTACCCCTGCCTCCAGCTGTTACCCAATTACCCTTCTTCTGGTTTGACACAAGCTGGTAGCCTCCCTGTGTGGCCCTCATGCTCACGGCCTACTCCACCGCCGCCTGGCACCACTGCTGGCGTCCACACCGAGCCTGCCCCGTGCCCAGCTGCCCCCGTCTACCCACCGCGGGCTCATGGACCCGAGGACACCACCCCCGGCTCCCCATACCCCACCGGCATGCCGGCACCTGGGGCCCATCCACTCCAGTTCTCCACATCAATTGACCACCATGAGGACATGCCAGTGGACTACGTATCTACGCCAAGAAGAACGACCCCTACTAACCTCTCGACGTCCCCCTTGAAGCCGACACTACCGACGCAAACGCCACCATAATCACACTAAAAGGTATGTCCCTCAATAACGTCAATGCCTATGGCCTGGCACTTGACATTATTAGGGACCTGCCACGCTTGGCCATAAACAGATAAATTGTACCGGGAACTTTCCCCCCACACACTTATTATTCTGTCACTTTGTGTAACTTGTTGACAAAACCCATGACCCTTCAGGCTTTTACGCCCTTAATGCATGAGTCATAAAGGCAAGCATGAACTACACATGCTTCAAGAGTGAGAAACAATATATGTATGTTGTGTAGTTAAAGTAAGAGAAACAATTGAGACCCTGCAATTGTGTGTAAATGAGGCAGAAAGTCAGATCAGCAACCTGGGACTTGGTCACAATTTCCGTACTTGGGTTCATACAAAGGAGTGTTAGTTACTGTACAAGACTAGCGAGGTCATCCTAAAACTATACGTTGTGCTTGTGAGACCTCAATTGGATTACGTAGTTCAGTTCTGGTCACCGTACTACAGAATGAATATAGAATCCCTAGAAAGAATTCAAAGAATGACAAGACTAATCTCGGGCATTGGGAACATTGAGTACAGAGACAGGTTAAAGCATCTTAATTTGCACTCCCTCGAGAGACGTAGAGTAAGGGGCGACGTGATCGAGGTGTATAAATGGAAGTCAGGGCTAAACAAAGGTGATATAACAAAGGTACTCAAACTATCCAACCGGGAGCGAACTCGCAGCAATGGTTTTAAATTAGACAAATTTAGATTTAGGTGCGAGATTGGTAAACATTGGTTTGGAAATTGAGTAGTGGATGAGTGGAACAAGCTACCAAATATCATCATTAACTCGAATACACTGGATAGCTTCAAACATATGTTGGGTGGATATATTAACGATAGGGGTTGGGTGTATATGGGACTGCCCAGTATGCGCCAATAGGCCCACTGCAGTTTCCTCCATTCTTATGAGGTAAGGTGATAGGTTCGGTGAGATGAGATGAGGTTAGGTTAGGTCAGGTTAGGTTAGGCTGAGAGTGGTGGTGTTGAGGGCCGCCGTATACATTTTGGATATATGCGCCCCAGCTAATGTTGGCCCCTTCCTCAAGTCCGTCTCCTCGACCCATCCTCACCACCAGGATATCAACATAATGCTGCCATGAGTGAAAATTTCGTTTAAAAAAAAAGTGGGATTAGTGTGGAGCAACCGATTCAAGTTGGATAAGTTTAGGTTTAGGAGGGAGATAGGAAGGAACTGGTTCACAAATAGGGTGGTGGACGAGTGGAACAAGCTTAGCAACTTTGTAATAAGTGCTGGAACGCTGGAAAGTTTCAAAAGAAGGCTAGATAGATTCATGGATGATAGAGAGTGGTCGTAACTCTCGACAGGGGCTGCCATGCACAGGCCAACCGGTCTATTGCAGACTCCTTATTTTCTTATGAACAGTGCCAGTGAATTCAGCACTAGACAGTACCAGCGGGAGCCGTGATCCACCAGTGAGGTTCATACCCAGAGATAAGCACCCCTGGGAACCGACCACCATCTTCTGACCAGGTGGTGTTAATCAGTCCACCCTGGGAACAACAGTGGGTCGGCTCTACACCTGACCACCAGATACTGCAACACCACTTAGTAGAGAGTGAGGTACTGTGACACCACCCCACACCACCCGGTGTCTCCATGACAACGAGAGGTTCTTCAAGTCAACCCCCGAGGACGAGTTACTGTACCACGTGGCCTACGTGACCTCAAACAGTTGGGCAAAAGACCAGCCAGGGCCATCAACTGTAAACTATAATTATATGTTCAAGTCATGTTCCTTCTCCTTTTAGTAATGAAAGCTTTTGTTAAATGACCCGCCCACCCCATGTCCTCCTCTGTAATAAGACCTTTCTGTCCAATGTATATTTTTAGCCTTCGTCAACTGCTGCAGATATCGACTATGAGGCTACAGTCACCGAATGCCGCATCGATCTGCGGCTCAACTAATTTAACACAGATAGGATAGTTGCTTATGTATTAGGATATTTAATATTAAGGTAAATAAATGGTGGCGAAGGTGTGGCTATTGGGGGAGGCTGGAGGCCACGTAGTAGTAGTAGTAGTAGTAGTAGTAGTAGTATCTGTAGTAGTAGTAGTAGTAGTAGTAGTAGTAGTAGTAGTAGTAGTAGTAGTAGTAGTAGTAGTAGTAGTAGTAGCAGTAGTAGTAGACATGGAGGACAGCATTAGGACCTGACCTTCAGAATCCCATGTAGTTATAAGTCGAGGTCGTGCCCCTAGGGAGGTGTCAGAGGAGGAAGGGTCGTACGGCCTGGTGGTGGACGGAGGGTCGTTGGTACTACTGATGGAGCACCACAAGAGGGACTTCTACGACCTCTGCTGCAGGTGCTGGTCCGTCGTCTGCTGCAGGATGTCCCCCCGGCAGAAGGCTGAGGTGAGAGGCATCGAGACCATCACCAGTATCTGAGGACAGTTATGCTTGGTGATGTTTAGTGATGTTTAATGATGCTGATGAGTTTTAGTGATGTTGGTGATGTTTAGTGACGTTTAGTGATGCTGATGAGTTTTAGTGATGTTGGTGATGTTTAGTGATGTTTAGTGATGCTGTGATGTTTAATGTCTAGTGATGTTTAGTGATGCTGATGAGTTTTAGTGATGTTGGTGATGTTTAGTGATGTTTAGTGATGCTGATGAGTTTTAGTGACGTTTAATGTTTAGTGATGTTTAGTGATGCTGATGAGTTTCAGTGATGTTGGTGATGTTTAGTGATGCTGATGAGTTTTAGTGATGTTTAATGTTTAGTGATGTTTAGTGATGCTGGTGAGTTTTAGTGATGTTGGTGATGTTTAGTGATGTTTAGTGATGTTTAGTGATGCTGATGAGTTTTAGTGATGTTGGTGATGTTTAGTGACGTTTAGTGATGCTGATGAGTTTTAGTGATGTTGGTGACGTTTAGTGATGTTTAGTGATGCTGATGAGTTTTAGTGATGTTTAATGTTTAGTGATGTTTAGTGATGCTGATGAGTTTTAGTGATGTTGGTGATGTTTAGTGATGCTGATGAGTTTAGTGATGTTTAATGTTTGGTGATGTTTAATGATGCTGATGAGTTTTAGTGATGTTGGTGATGTTTAGTGATGTTTAGTGATGCTGATGTGAGTTTTAGTGATGTTTAATGTTTAGTGATGTTTAGTGATCTTAGTGGGTTTAGTGATGTTGGTGATGTTTAGTGATGTTTAGTGATGCTGATGAGTTTAATTGATGTTGGTGATGTTTAGTATTTAGTGATGCTGATGAGTTTAGTGATGTTTAATGTTTAGTGATGTTTAGTGATGCTGATGAGTTTTAGTGATGTTGGTGATGTTTAGTGATGTTTAGTGATGCTGATGAGTTTTAGTGATGTTGGTGATGTTTAGTGATGTTTAGTCATGCTGATGAGTTTTAGTGATGTTTAATGTTTAGTGATGTTTAGTGATGCTGATGAGTTTTAGTGATGTTGGTGATGTTTAGTGATGTTTAGTGATGCTGATGAGTTTTAGTGATGTTGGTGATGTTTAGTGATGTTTAGTGATGCTGATGAGTTTTAGTGATGTTTAATGTTTAGTGATGTTTAGTGATGCTGATGAGTTTTAGTGATGTTGGTGAGGTTTAGTGACGTTTAGTGATGCTGATGAGCTTTAGTGATGTTGGTGATGTTTAGTGACGTTTAGTGATGCTGATGAGTTTTAGTGATGTTTAATGTTTAGTCATGTTGGTGATGTGTGGTTATGTTTAGTGATGTTGGAAAGGTCGAGTTATGTTTAAAGTTTATTGATGTTTATTGATGTTTATTGATGTTTAGTGATGTTTAGTGATGTGTAGTTATGTTTAGTAATGTTTAGGGATGTTTAGTGACGTTTAATGTTTAGTGATGTTGGTGATGTTTAGTAATGTGTAGTTATGCTTAGTAATGTTTAGTGATGTTTAAAGTTTAGTGATGTTGATTGATGTTTAGTGATGTGTAGTTATGTTTAGTAATGCTTAGTGATGTTTAGTGATGTTGGTGAGGTTTAGTAATTTAAGTGATGTTTAGTAAGGCTTAGGGATGTTTAGTGACGTTAAATGATGTTCAGTGATGTTAAATGATGTTTAGTGATGTTAAATGAGGTTTTAGTGAGGTTTAGTAAGATTTAGGGATGTTTAGTGATGTTAAATAATGTTTAGTGAGGCTTAGGGATGTTTAGTGATGTTAAATGATGTTCAGTGATGTTAAATGATGTTTAGTGATGTTAAATGATGTTTTAGTGAGGTTTAGTAAGATTTAGGGATGTTTAGTGATGTTAAATCATGTTTAGTGAGGCTTAGGGATGTTTAGTGATGTTAAATGATGTTCAGTGATGTTAAATGATGTTTAGTGATGTTTTAGTGAGGTTTAGTAATGTTTAGAGATGTTTAATGAAGTTTAGTGATGTTTAGTGATGCTTAATGGTGTTGATTGATGTTTAGTGATGCTCAGTGATGTTTAGTAATGTTTGATGATGTCTGTGTTTGTTTATCATTGATTGGGTGTGTTTTGGGTGTGGCCTCAGATGGTGCGACTGGTGAAGACTGCCAAAGAGCGGCCCAGATGTGCAGCCATTGGTGACGGAGCTAACGACGTGTCCATGATCCAGGAAGCTCACGTTGGTATAGGTCAGTCTCTCTCTCTCTCTGTGTAATTCATGTACTGATAACTGTTGTCATCAATGTTCCTTCACTTTATTCACCAACCCTCAACTGTTGTCACTATCCACGTGTTTACCCCAACAGGCATTATGGGTAAGGAAGGTAGACAGGCAGTAACGTGTGCAGACTTCGGCATCTCCCGGTTCCAGTTCCTGCAGAAGGTGCTGCTGGTGCACGGCCACTGGAGCTATGTCCGGGTGGCGGTATTCATCCAGTTCTCCTTCTACAAAAACGTGGTCTTCAACACCCCGATGGTCTTCTACGCTGTCTGGTCCGCCTTCTCTACCCAGGTACATCCTTCAAGGTGGTAATTGGATCATCATACCCATTTATCCTTCTACCTATAGCCTTTCTTTGACCAATAATGTTCTTTAAATAATTATTTATCCATTTAGGGTCATTGTTATCTGATCCGAGTTTTTTGTATGGTATGTTCTGCCTTTGTGCATTAAGTAACTCATTATTTAATTTGTCGTGGAACTCGACAATCTCAGATCTCGTTATCAGGTCGGTGTCATCTGTCAGGTTCACGCCCAAGCACGACACCCCCTCTCTCAGCTGCCTCTTTTAAATTATCAAAGTTTGCCCTTCTGAAATCTGGGACATTAATGGAATTTTCCTTACGTCCGACCTGAAAATCTAACTGGAATCTAATTTCTTTGTGATCGCAGTATATATATACTTGTCCACATTACAGGGTCATTGACACACTCAGTAACCTTCTTGTGAGACAAACTTCACACCACTTGTAACTTAACGTCTTCCTCTGGTAGACGTACACCACCTTGGTCAAGTTAACAATAATTTAGCATCACAAAATCTTCACCTCACTGGAAAGCAACGGGGGAAGGTTACTTTTGTGTTGGGGATTAATTCTGTATCATTCTCCAAGTGTTGTTGTTTACAGTGGGGTGCTGTCACCGTGGGGTGTTGTTTACAGTGGCTGTTGTTTATAGTGGGGTGTTGTTTACAGTGGATGTTGTTTATAGTGGGGTGTTGTTTACAGTGGATGTTGTTTATAGTGGGGTGTTGTTTACAGTGGCTGTTGTTTATAGTGGGGTGTTGTTTACAGTGGATGTTGTTTATAGTGGGGTGTTATTTTCAGTGGGTTGCTGTTTACAGTGGGGTGCTCTTTACAGTGGGGTGCTGTTGTTGACAGTGGGGTGTTGTTGTTTACAGTGGGGTAAAGCAGCATTACAGTGTATGTTGCTTACAGTGGGGGTGTTGTTGTTTTTACAGGGTTGCTGTTTACAGTGTTGTTACAGTGAGTGCCTTGTTTACAGTAGTGTTGTTGTTTATAAGTGTTGTTGTTTACGGTGGAGTATTATTTGACACAAGTATGTTGTTTGTTATGGGTGTTATTGGTTGTTTACGTGTGTTGCTGTTTAGCAAGTAAGTATTTACATGGTGGGGTATTGTTTTACAGCTGGGTGGTATTGTTTACGGTAAGTTACGTTTTCACGGTGGGTACTGTTTACGGTAAGTGGCATTGTTTACGTGTGGGGTAGCATTGTTTTTACGGTGGGTGGCATTGTTTACGGTAAGTGGTGCTGCTTACGTGTAAGTGTTGTTGCTTCACGGTAAGTGGCATTGTTTCATGTGCGGTATTGTTTTACGGTAAGTGCTTGCCGTCTACGGTAAGTAAGTATCTTTACAGTTGTTGCCACTTATATAAAGTGTTGCTTGTTTCAGTGTAAGTGGTATCTTTGCGCTTAGTTGCTGTTTATAGTGGGGTGTTGTTGTTTTCAGTGGGGTGGTGTTGTTTACATACGGGTGGTATTGTTTACAGTGGTTGTTGTTTACAGAGTGTGTATGATGGTTTACTTCTGACCATGTATAACATTACGTGCACCTCCCTGCCGGTGCTGGTGTACAGTCTAGTGGAGCAGAACCTGCCATCCAGCGTCCTGCTCACGAGACCACACCTCTATCAACTTAACGCTAACAACGCCTACATGAGCTGGCGAGTGTTCTTCCAGTGGAATCTCTTTGGTGAGTGACGGGATGTACTCTCTCTCTTTTTCTCTCTCAATGTGTCTGTGTTGCTATGTCTCTATGTCTCTCTCTCTGTATGTCGCTCTCTGTTTCTCTCTATATATGTTTCTGTCTCTCTCTCTCTCTCTCTTTATGTCTTTGTCTCTCTCTATGTATCTCTGAATCTCTCTTTATATGTCTCTCACTCTATATGTCCATCTCTCTCGGTATATGTCTATGTCACTCTATGTCTCTATATGCCTCTCTCCATCTCTCTATGTCTCTCTATGTCTCTGTCTATAAATATCTCTATATGTCTGTCTCCCTCTATGTCTCTCTTCTAATAACCAAAACAATAACAACTTCCCTATGTACACGCTTAGGTTAGGTTAGAGTAGGTCAGGTCAGGTCAGGTCAGGTCAGACATGGCGTAATCATAATAACGATTACAATAGTAAGTACATACTGTTACTTCATCATCTTTTCTAACTATACTGACCTCATTATTTTCCATAGTTAATAATATTCCACAACTTCACATCACGTCACAGTTATTTAGGTTAAATCTTATCAAAAGTTAGATCCACCTATTAAAGATTTTGTTAAATTCTCGTCTTTTAAATGTCTACCTTTTTCATCTCTCAGAAAATATTATTTAATTGTACCAGGTTGACAAACAGTACAGTAAAGGGAGTTTTTGTAGTTCGGTCGTTTATCTATGCACATTGCACAGTCCTTTTAAAGTAGTCATGATGCATCACCCCTTGTCTGGGTTAGGTTAGGTTAGGATACATTAAATTTGGTTACTGATAGAATATTTAATAAGGTGAAATAAGTTAAGGGTGTATAATCGACTGGTGATCATAGCTCTAACCAACACACACTTAACCTAACCTAACCAACACACACTTAACCTAACCTAACCAACACACACTTAACCTAACCTAACCAACACACACTTAACCTAACCTAACCAACACACACTTAACCTAACCAACACACACTTAACCTAACCTAACCAACACACACTTAACCTAACCTAACCAACACACACTTAACCTAACCAACACACACTTAACCTAACCTAACCAACACACACTTAACCTAACCTAACCAACACACACTTAACCTAACCAACACACACTTAACCTAACCTAACCAACACACACTTAACCTAACCTAACCAACACACACTTAACCTAACCAACACACACTTAACCTAACCTAACCAACACACACTTAACCTAACCACACACTTAACCCAACCTAACCAACAGTTAATAATTTAACCTAACCCAACCAACACACACTTAACCCAACCCAACCAACACACACCTAACCCAACCAACACACACACTTAACCCAATCCCAACCAACACACAACACTTAACCCAATCCCAACCACACACACACCTAACTCCAACCAACACACACTTAACTCCAATCCTAACCAACACACACACTTAACCTAACCTAACTAACACACACTTAACTCCAATCCCCAATCCAACACACACTTCCCCTATGAATCACGTGTTTGAATGCCCAGTCCCCCCCAGCCCTATGGCACGCCCTGGTCCTGTACTTTGGCCTCATGTTGGTCTGCTACGACGACACCTGTGGCCTCCCCCATGGCCAGACCTCAGACCTCTACCTCTTCGGCCTCACCCTCGGCACCCTGTGTGTGTTCGTCACCAACCTCAAGGTAAAGTTATAGTCCACGAACAAACGAAACGAGCTTACCTTAACCTAACCTAACCTAACCTAACCTAACCTTACCTAAACTTAACCTTACCTTAACCTAACCTTACCTTAACATAACCTAACCTTACCTTAACCTAACCTTACCTTAACCTAACCTAACATAACCTAACCCACCTTTAACATAACCTAACTCCACCTTAACCTAACCTTACCTTAACCTAACCTTACCTTAACCCAACCTTACCTTAACCTAACTGTAAACTAACCTTACCTTAACCTAACCTTACCTTAACCTAACTTTAAACTAACCTTACCTTAACCCAACCTTACCTTAACCTAACTGTAAACTAACCTTACCTTAACCTAACCTTACCTTAACCTAACCTTACCTTAACCTAACTTTAAACTAACCTTACCTTAACCCAACCTTACCTTAACCTAACCTTACCTTAATCTAACCTAACTCACCCAACGCACCTAACCTTAACTTAACCTAACCTTAACCTAACCTTAACGTAACCTAACCTAACCTTAACCTAACCTTACCTTACCCTAACCTAACCTTACCTTAACCTAACCTTACCTTAACCTAACTAACCTAACCTTAACTTAACTTACTTAACTTATCCTAACATAACTTAACCTAACCTAACCTTAACCTAACTTCCCTAACTTAACATTAACCTAAATTATCCAAACCTAACTTAACCTAACATAACTTAACCTAAACCAAACTTTAACTAATCTAACTTATCCGAACATACTAGTCACCAACCTAATCTGACATATCTTAACCTAACCTAAACTAAACTACCTTAATCTAACCTAAACTAAACTACCTTAATCTAACCTAACCTAAATTAACCTGGCTTAACATAACATTAACTAACCCCCAGGTAGCATTAGGATGATTAACAGGTGAAATAAAGTAATGTTCAGGTACTTCACCCCGTTTATTAATTTCCCCCACAGATAGCATTAGAGACCAATTACTTCACCGTGGTGTTCGCGGGGGCTCTGGTAGTCGCCTTCTTGGGCCAGTCAGCCATGTATGTCATCTACTGCGGCCTTCCTGTGTGAGTTTTTATCCCCCGCCACTCACCCATCTATCACGTTACTATCCATTGGTCTGTTTTTTTTTTTGGTTACTTTGTCATATTGGTTGGGTCACACTGGTTAACCACACCCCCGCCATCTGACACCTGCCCTGGAACCCAGAACCCACTTTACCACTTCGTGCCTTGGTTTCTCAGGTCAACATTACCCTCAACGACTCGACAAAGAAGCTGTAGAACTGACCATAGTGTTATTCTGTATTGTAGTCTCCCCCAACTTATATACTGTGCACTTTCCCTCTCACCCACAGTACCCCCCCTCCCTCCACAGAAACACACCAACGCCACCCCTCCCCTCCCTCTTACTACAGTAGTGAATGCTTCATAGTTCAGAGTTCACACTTGAGGGAGAAAGAGGAGTGGAGCCAACTGTATCATCCTTCCCATTAATAACGGCAGGAAACGAACCAACTGTAAACATTGTTTACATAGTGCGTGCTGTAGCTTTAACAATACTACTGATTCTGAACAAATTCCCATGCAACAGATGGGAGAAATTCTACTAACCCTCTAGAGCAGGGGTCACCAAACTTTTTTCACAGTGGGCCGGATAACTGAAAGAATGACGAGTGCGGGCCGTATAATCATTCTGTTCAATACTTGCAAGCCAGAACGAAAGCTCTGGTAACGTCAGAGCGTAGGTGGAGCTACCACGAGCCGGGGAAGGACTTGGGATCCGGCCCGCGGGCCGTAGTTTGGTGACCCCTGCTCTAGAGTCTAGACTCTCATTCAGAACGGTAGTTTGAGCCTGGGATTTGAGCTCGGCTCAGGCGTGCAAATCTGGATTCCTCGATCCGAGGTTTCCTGCAGTGGATTGCCCATATTCAGAACATCGCTTGAATCCCGGATCAAGTAATCTGTTTACATTTTCTTCAATTACGAGCATGGATTCGAACACTGAAATTCCAGCCAATCACGTTTCATTAACACCATTACGACAACCAATCACCATCGACAGTAATGTTTGCAAGATTATGGCAGCAACTATGACTCGACGAGCTGTTACGGGGAGGAGAAATCTCTCCTTGCGCATCATAAGTTACTTTTATTACTATAATTACAATCAAATTATGATCAAATTATAATAATTTATGGTACTGTGTTACAACGTGGCTGTGTTATAGCAAAGAAATTTATAGAAGAACAATTACATACAAATTGCAGATATAATCCGGGACAGGTGTCAATATTCTTAACCAAAGCAAGATGAATCAATACAGGCCGTAGTAATCTGGCTAGGTTCAGTGAGGTTAGGTTTCTTTAGTTTTTTTAACATTTCTCCTGATTTGTAACATTAAGACAAGACTTTTCTTTATTAATACATTAAAATCAAAATGCACTCAGCATTGATTCAATTATTGAAAACACATCAACAAAGTTTTCCTAAAGAAAAACACTCAAAATAAAGAAGCGTCAGCGTTGTTGACATTTACCCGCTTGATCTTCATGGACCCTAAACACTAAAGCATTGTAACACATTACCATAACTCATTCAGTAACCAGAATCTTTCTTACCCGGAAACTATTCGTTGCGAAGAACCTCAAAGCAATCATCAGCTGATGAATGGGAGGCAGAGGTGAACAACAGGTCAGTCAAGTAGATGCAACACATGATGCAAAACGTTAAGGTAATCTCCCTTGCTGAACCTATATCGTTGTCTGAATTGCATCACCATAAAAAATTAATAGGATTCTACCTATCTACCATCAGTCTTCTCTCTACAAAATTTTCAATTTGATGTTATCGCCGAAAAGTACTCTGTCAAAATTCACGTTGACTAACTATCTTGAATGACGGATCAACCACTAAACCTGCCTCCAGGCTGAATGAACCCGAGGATCGACAAATCCGATCCCAAACCCGGTTTAAATCTTTGTGTTGGCTCAGCCAGCGTTCTGAATAACAACAATCTCCAAACTTTGCTCGATGTTTGGTTTAAACCTTCATGCGGTTTCAAACCAGCGATCTGAATTCGGGCCTCGGTGTTCAAAGAGGACAATAACAGAAACTGGGCCACTCGAGTGTAGGTACTGTGCAGCCTCTTCCACTTCCAACTGGTACAATCAGCGTTGTCAATCCACCCGTTCCGTGAAGTGTGAACCCCAGGAGTATCGACTCTTGAATCCGAGGGATTCACGAGAGAGGGAGGCAGGGGGAGGACTGGACAAAACACAAACTATGGCTAGAATGTGTTACCGCACATTAGGGAGGTGTTCCCAGCTTGTGCTGCAGGTCTGACCTGTAGCACATGCATATTTACTGTCCTGAATTTACGAAATAATAGGTCACTGTGATAACAAAACAATCCCCCCGGCCCCAAGTCACACACACCCAAGCATCGGTCATGCTGTATTCCTCCACGTCCTCCTCCTGCTGAAACCTAAGCAACTGTCACCCCTGGTGAGAGGAGGATTGGCTGGGGCCTCTTTATATGGTGTCTGTTTATGACAGGGTCACATTTTTTGACCCAATGAATAACTCTTGCACACCCAGCAAGTTGTCAAACAATTATTTTAAATAACGTTACCACAAAAATAATACATCAATGTGCAGGAGTTCCGCCTGTATTTATTTTTCTTTTTAAGTTTCAATACAGATTACTGTCTATGAGGTGAGGTGACGTCGGGAGATTGGGGTAGAGTAGGTGTCAGCGCCGGGCACAGTTTAGGGCACAGCTGCACCGTGTTTAGTAAGCAATCCTCATTATGTGAATGCAGATACTTTATAATGTCTGGTGCTTGTTTAAGTTGGGAAACATCAATAACACGCTATTGTCCGCTGCATTATGTGGACAAACAACACTGCTTATTAGCTTTCCCCAATACCTGTATGGGGCAGAAACTTTATTTGTATGAGTTAGTTGTTTGCTAGAATATAATATTATATCTCATAGGTTATGGGGATATTGATGAGATTATGCACTAGTATCGTGACGTTGTATATAGTAAAATGGCGAGAAGGGAAATTGGCTGGCCACACTTTGGACATTGAGTCAGATTCCAAGGCATTATATCAAATGTGAGTAGGTGGGTATAATGACGCAGGGTTGATTCCATATGTTATGTCTAAGCCCACCAGGTGACCTATTACAATAGGTATCTATAATCTTATTAACTAATGCAAAGTTCGATATCAGTATGAACGACACTTGACGGCTGAGGTATTGTGATCGCCACACTCATTCACCTGTACTACACTAACACTCCACTTGAAGCCTAAAACTATCCACGTTATTTAGGTCTATTACGGTCTAGTACGGTCTAGTACATAAGAACATAAGGAGTCTCCAATAGGCCGGTTGGCCTGTGCATGGCAGCTCCTGTCGAGAGTTACTACCACTCTCTATCATCCATGAATCTATCTAGCCTCCTTTTGAAACTTTCCAGAGTTCCCGCACTTACTACAAAGTTGCTAAGCTTGTTCCACTCGTCTACCACCCTATTTGTGAACCAGTTTCTTCCTATCTCCCTCCTAAACCTAAACTTATCCAACTTGAATCCGTTGCTCCGAGTCCTATCCTGCTCGATATTATAAGAACTTTATCTATATCCCTTTATTGATTCCTTTCACCCACTTAAATACTTCTATCATATCTCCCCGCACTCTTTCGTCTTTCTAGGGAATGCAAGTTAAGTTTCTTTAACCTATCCTGATATGGAAGGTTTCTAAGTCCCGGAATCATTTTGTCATTCTTCGCTGCACCGACTCTTAGTGAATTTATATCCATTCTATAATAGGGGCACCAGAACTAAACCGCATAATCGAGGTGCGGCCTGACTAGCGCAAGATATAGTTGCAATAAGACCTCTGCACTCTTGTTACTTACACTTCTAGATATAAACCCAATACTCTGTTTGCCTTATTTCGAACATTAACGCACTGTTTTCTAGGCCGTAGGTCCGGGCTTACAAGTACCCCTAGGTCTCTTTCACAAGGCGACTTCTCTAGGTTGATGTTGTTAAGGCTGTATACATTATAAGTATTTGTTCTTCCAATATTAAGTACGCTGCATTTGCTGGTGTTGAATTTCATTTGCCATTTTTCAGACCACCCCTGCAGTTTATTTAGATCCTCCTGTAATGCATTTGCATCCTGCCCTGAATTAATTTGCCGCCCTATTTTGGTGTCATCCGCAAACTTGCTTATGTCACTGCTGATCCCAGTATCTAGATCGTTAATGTAGATCATGAACAAGAGTGGGCCTAGTACTGACCCCTGGGGAACCCCACTGGTTACACGGCCCCACTCAGATTTAACACCACCTACGCTGACCCTCTGCGGTCTATCGGTGAGCCATGATTTTATCCAATTTAAAACTTTCCCTTCGATACCATGAGCCTTAATTTTTCTCAGAAGCTTCTGATGCGGTACTCTGTCAAATGCTTTGCTAAAGTCTAAGTAAATAACATCGTAATTTTCGTCATTATCTACTACCTCGAAGACTTTCCTAAAAAATGTCAGCAGATTTGTTAGACAAGATTTTCCTTTTGTAAACCCATGTTGAGAGTCGTAAATTAATTTGCTTTTCTCTAGATGCGATCGGATGCTATCTGCTATAATTGATTCAAGAAATTTCCCCACTACTGACGTCAAACTGATCGGCCGGTAATTTAACGCTGATGCTCTGTCTCCCTTTTTGAATATGGGTACTACATTTGCCTGTTTCCACAAGTCTGGCACAACTCCAGTGTCTAATGATTTTGTAAATAAGTTTACGAGGGGTCCGCTAATCTGTTCCCTACACTCTTTCAAGACTCGAGGGAAAATTTCATCCGGCCCTGGGGATTTTGTTTTCTTTAGTTTATTTATCTTCTTAAGAACATCCTCTTTTCTGATAGTGATATTCTTTAATTTCTCTTCTTCCTTTCCCTTAAATATCACTTCCACCTCTGGAATTTCATCCCAAATTTCTTCTGTGAAAACTGATAAGAAGTAGCTGTTCAATGCTTTGCTTATTTCTTCACTGCCATTTACCACTTCTCCCCTCTCTGACTTTAAAGACCCAACTTTGTCCTTGACCTTTGTCCTATATACTTGGAAATATCCCTTGGGATTCGCCTTGGATTCTCTTGCTATCCTGATTTCATAGTCTCTCTTTGCTTTCCTTACATTTTTCTTAACATTCCTAGATAGTTCATTATACCTGTTTCTGAGCTGCTCCTCCCCTCCCTTTAATTTCTTATATATTCCTTTCTTTATTCCTATGCCATGTTTAAGTTTTCTGGTCATCCACCTTGGCTCATTCTTATTTGACCAAATTTTTCTGTATGGTCTAGTACGGTCTAGTACGGTCTATTATGGTCCAGTACGGTCTATTACGGTCTATTACGGTCTAGTACGGTCTATTATGCCTCGTATTTATTGAGTGGTTTTCCCATGACCTCACTTACATGGAACCAATGGCATTTACTTAATGTATAAACACCATTCATGGTATACGCTGTATAAGCACGTATGAAAATGCATTTACGAGGCGTGCACTGATGCATACGGCCAGTCAACTAACACTCACATGGTAGTAGTATACTATATGGTGTAATATTTGACATATTATAATGAAGTAGCAGTTTACTTAAGCAAATATCACTATTTTAGAGTTACTCAGTAATAAGGTCATATTATAATACACTAATTGCTATTATAATAAAACATGATATCATATGTAGGCTGATAAACTAGGTCACGGTAGAGTGGTTGTTGCCTCGCCCAGGTCATAGTGAGGTTAACGATTATTTAAGCGCCATATTACAACACATCATCCATGAAAGTTACTATATATTCTCATTACAAATGACAGTTTAAGAGTAACTATATATGCAAACCTGTGCATCCTGATATATCATACTAGGAAGTGCAGAGGGCCGCCCAGACTTGACCGTCACCCTCTTACCCCACAACACAGCGGTTTGCTCCCACTACCATCACCTATGCCGCCCCCCACGGCGACTCGACCTCTACCAGCTAACTCATTATCTACTGTTGTCTGATTATTAAATAGTTTTATATTGCCAAGTCTCCTCAAACTAGGCATCCGTATATACCCACCTTGTTTGTGATCTACTTAAACGACATAGATGAAAACATATCGAGCCACAGAGTTTGAGGACGACACGAAGATATTCGAGAAGGTAGCAAGTCAAGAGAATGTCACAATAATGCAGATAGTCCTGCATGAACTGTTCAAATGGTCTCGAGACGGGCAAATGCTCTTAACGTTACGAACTGCAACACCCTACACGTTGGGTACAATAACCCCGACCACAACTATCATCTTAATAACCCAGAAAGACCTAACATCCCTAGAAAAGGTGCGACTAAGATGATTCCTGAACTATGTCATCTAGATTATCCAAGTAGACTGAGAGCCTTAGAACTAACAACCCTTCAGACAAGGCACAATAGGGCAGATCTCACTGAAACATTCTAAATCCTGAAAGTGATGGAAAACGTGAACCCGGGACACATCTTTGTGATGTCCCACACCACCAACACGAGAGGACATAACTACAAGCTCACCAAGTTATCATGCAGAACGAACATAAGGAAATACTTCTTCACACAGAGGCTGGTAGACCTATGGCCCGGCCTACCAGCCCAAGCTGTGGAGCCAAGAACAGTTCTGGGCTTCACTATAGTCCTTGACAAAATTATCAACAACAATGGAGGGATCCTACACTGGCCTCCTTCCCTCGGCATGGCCACTTCTAGTTGGTGGCCATTAAGTAAATGAGTTATGATATGGCCACCGTCATGGGACCCAGTTTTCCATATCACCGCCAGTGTTGTGTCTCTGGGTGTGTCCCTCCTCCATCCGTCTATGTGACAAGTGGGGACGAGGCGGGACGCAGAGACTAACAAAGAACCTCAAAGAAACTAATGATACCTGAGCAGCCATCACCACTACACCTGTCTTTATAGAGGAAGACATATCAACTGAAGATCAACCACCCCAGTTTATTTCAACTGAAGATCAGTCACCCCAGTCTATTTCAACAGGTAGAACAAAAATAAATAATTTTCTGTAAAGCGTTTCCTCACCAGTTTATATTTTCCAGTTTACTCGAGACATTACAGCTTAAGAATGACTAATCTTCACTCACAGGGCCACGTGAACAGTCCCGTCAACCAGCCTGTCACATAATACACCCGTGCATGTAGGTTGGGTTAGGTTAGTTTTGTGTGTATTATTACCTTATAAATTCCCTCTACTTCAAAGCCCTATCCACTTCTGAGGACTCGGAATTATAGGTAGTCGGGGGGGCTGGAGAGGGGGAGAGGCGGGGACTATCTCCTTAACTACTCATTTCCCACACAATTGAAGGTCAGGTACAGTTGGATTACAATACCGTGAAACACATAAAAACAATTTCATTTAGTAGTTTCCGTTCACGTACACTACCGAGCCTTTACCTGGGTGGCTAATCTTCAGGTGAATCCACAACCACACTCACTCACAGGTGTAGTTGTTGGTTTGGCATAACGCCACGTTGTGTACATGAAAACAAAAGTTCTACATTCTAACAAATTATTATTACCCCTTTTAATATAAGCTGTATAAAAAGCTGATGGTCATGAACTAAACACAAACACTCAAGAAATTCAGACAATATTGTAACATTTCACATAACACTAACCTTCTCCCTCTCCTTCAGGCCGTGATTGAGCAGCTGAGTACGACTGGTGATGATTGTGGTGCAGGTCCCTGGTCAGTGGTTCACTACAACGATAAAACGAGCACTTACATACAGCTCCATATAAAACTTATTACAACAGACGATGATGATTATTGTCCTCCATTGGCTCTGGCGTCTCTCACACTACAGCCTCTTAATGTTTCACTGTTTCTGAGGCGGCCACAAACACAACTCGTTAACTCATTAGTTGTATACGTCAGAATTTCTATATCATCTTCACTATGAGCAGATCACAAGTACATGTGACAGTCACTATTGTTTCATAGATTCACTGAGTTGAAGAAAATCCACAGAGTAAATCTCACATATAGAAATTAAAACCGGCAGGAGTGAGGTGCGTGCACTGCGGGGCTCTGTCGACGGCGCCAGGACGGAGGCTAAGCTTTTGTTTTGAAAGTTGATTTCCGTTCCGTCGTCAAAAGAACTTCACTCAATCCATATACACACCGTCTAAAGTACTTACATAAACGAAGGTAACAACAATACACATATATACAAATTAATGAATAAACAAATGAATGAAAATGATAATAAAATGAAGAAAACAGATGAATATAATATAAATACAGGCAGCCATTGTTACCAAACGACTGGGTCTCATCAGCCACACGACTCAAGTACTGCAACGATATTTGGACATTAGTTACTTAAATCGCTAAAACGGATAAAAAACTGTAACCTATCGATACTGGTGTTTGGGGGCTGTAGTTAGACTTTTTTTTGTAATAATTGTACCGAGTTTTAGCTATGTTACTTGAAGAGCACTGGAATATTGAGAGGAAAGAACTAAATTTGAGTCTCTAACCCGAGAGAGGTAATGTGGGGACAAATAATCTATGAAATGGGCAAAAATAACCCGAACAACAAGAAGAATGTGTTACACAATTACAGGTATATTGATAATTACCAGGTGCGTACTCAAGAGCTTAATAGACTGTAAATATAGGATAGGTTAGGATAAGTTAGGTTAGATTAGGATAGGATAGGTTAGGTTAGGTTAGCGTAAAGATTAGCGTAAATGTGAAATAACTTGGGGGAGGGGGGAGGAAGGGAGGGGGGGGGTTGTTCAAATCTACAGGTGATTTAAATATGCGTATCATTCTGGCTAAATAAACAGGATTAAATCTCTCACCACACAGGGAGCCCTTCACCCTCAACGACATCTACTGGGCCTACTACAGGTTGTTTCAGAGCCCGTCCCTCAATCTAGCCTGCGTCCTGCTGGTGGTTGTCTGCCTCCTCCCCGACCTACTACTTAAGATCTACGTCAACTCCTGCGACAATGAGAGATACCCAAGGAAGAGAAGGAGACGGGTGAGTGTGTGGAGGAGAAGGGTGAGTGTGTGTGGAGGAGACGGGTGAGTGTGTGAAGGAGACGGGTGAGTGTGTGTGGAGGAGAAGGGTGAGTGTGTGTGGAGGAGAAGGGTGAGTGTGTGTGGAGGAGACGGGTGAGTGTGTGAAGGAGACGGGTGAGTGTGTGTGGAGGAGAAGAGTGTGTGTGAGTGTGTGGAGGAGGGGTGAGGTGTGTGGAGGAGAAGGTCAGTGTGTGGAGGAGGACGGGTCAGTGTGTGTGGAGGAGGAGACCAGGTGTGTGTGGGAGGAGGGTGAGTGTGTGGAGGGGTGAGTGTGTGGACGGGTGAGTGTGTGAAGGGTGAGTGTGTGTGGGGGAGACGGGTGTGTGTGGAGGAGACGGAGTGTGTGTGGAGAAGGTGTGTGTGTGTGGAGGTGAGAGGGGATGAGTGTGTGGAGGGAGACGGGTGAGTGTGTGTCGGGTGTGTGTGTGGAGGAGACGGGTGAGTGTGTGGAGGGAGACGGGTGAGTGTGTGTGGAGGAGAGGTGGTGTGTGGAGGAGGAGACGGATGAGTGTATGGAGGAGACAGGTGGTGTGTGTGGAGGAGACGAGTGTGTGTGGAGGGAAGTGTGTGGAGAGGGAGGTGTGAAGGAGACGGGTGTGTGAGAGGGTGAGGTGTGAGTGTGTGGAGGGGTGAGTGTGTGAAGGAGACGGGTGAGTGTGTGAGTGTGTGTGAGTGTGTGGAGAAGGGGTGAGTGTGTGGAGAAGGGTGGTGTGTGGAGGGTGGGTGTGTGGAGGGAGACAGGTCAGTGTGTGGAGGAGGGGGTGAGTGTGTGGAGGAGACGGGTGAGGTGTGTGGAGGGAGACAGAGTGTGTGGAGGAGACGGGTGAGGGTGTGTGTGAGAAGGAGAGGGTGAGTGTGTGGAGGGACAGGTGAGTGTGTGGAGTGTGTGTGGAGGACAGGTGAGAGGGTGAGTGTGTGGGAGGAGACAGTGTGTGGGAGAGACGGGTGAGTGTGTGGAGGAGACAGGTGAGTGTGTGGAGGGAGACGGAGAAGTGTGTGGAGTGGGTGTGTGGAGGAGGACGGGTGTGTGTGGAGGAGACGGGTGAGTGTGTGGAGGAGGTCAGTGTGTGGAGAGGAGAGAGGGTGAGTGTGTGGAGTGTGAGTGTGTGGAGACAGGTCAGTGTGTGGAGGAGACAGGTCAGTGTGTGGAGGACAGGTCAGTGGTGGAGGAGGGAGACGGGTCAGTGTGTGGAGGAGGAGACAGGTCAGTGTGTGGAGGAGACAGGTCAGTGTGTGGAGAGAGGTGTGGAGGAGAGGGAGGCAGGTGTGTGGAGGAGACAGGTGTGTGGAGGAGGGTCAGTGTGTGGAGGAGGAGACAGGTCAGTGTGTGGAGGAGACAGGTGTGTGTGGAGGAGAGACAGGTCAGTGTGTGGAGGAGAGACAGGTCAGTGTGTGGAGGGAGGGAGACAGGTCAGTGTGTGGAGGAGGAGACAGGGTCAGTGTGTGGAGGAGACAGGTCAGTGTGTGGAGGATGAGTGTGGAGACAGGTCAGTGTGTGGAGGAGACGGAGAGACGAGTGAGTGTGTGTGTCAGTGTGTGGAGGAGGAGACGGGTCAGTGTGTGGAGGAGGAGTGTGTGGAGGGAGGAGACAGGTCAGTGTGTGGAGGAGGAGTGTGTGGAGGAGGAGACGGGTCAGTGTGTGGAGGAGGAGTGTGTGGAGGAGACGGGTGAGTGTGTGGAGGAGGAGACAGAGTGTGGAGGAGGAGACAGGTCAGTGTGTGGAGGAGGAGAGGAGAGACAGGTCCTGGTCAGTGTGTGGAGGAGGAGACGGGTCAGTGTGTGGAGGAGGAGACGGGTCAGTGTGTGGAGGAGGAGACGGGTCAGTGTGTGGAGGAGGAGACGGGTCAGTGTGTGGAGGAGGAGACGGGTCAGTGTGTGGAGTAGTAGACGGGTCAGTGTGTGGAGGAAGGTGGCGAGTGATATTTCCTTTTAGATAATAATTACCGTTTTTCTTTCTTTCCAGGAGAGTAATGATGTAATGTTAAAATCTGTATCCACTCTCGTCAACGACACCCTGACAGAAGAACTGGAAAAGAAAACTCAACACTGAACTTTAAAACCAAAGAAAACGGTTTTTGTAGGAGGGAATCTATTTTTTCTTCAGTCTACTTCCTTAATATTTACCTGATCTACCCAGCCTCGTTGCCTTAGATAGTGTCAAGTTTATGAGAATATCTCTTAGACACACAAAAGTCTAGGGAACAGAATATACCCCATGGAGGTAACACATTGCATTAAGCTAAGTTGGTTATAATGTCTTTTTGTTTGTCTATGTGAAATTTATACTTTTGGACGCGAGGAATTTTTTTCTAATGTATTCTCAGGTACGTGATAAACAGTTAAAGCATTAAGAGTGGTGTTTTTATAGTGGTTTAAGGTCACCCTTACCGTCATCCTTGTATTGTTATGTCTTACCTCATCTTCACTACTATAACTTGAAGATAAACCTAACACTCGGGAATTTGTGCAGGTCAGTTTTTTAATATAAATAAATATACGATACTCTTATATTTTGTGTGTATTTAGTAAATAAACAGGTATGACACTTTTATTTTGTTAAATACCTTCATCAATTCTTTGAAATCACACACACACACACACACACACACACACACACACACACACACACACACACACACACACACACATACACACACACACACACACACACACACATACACATACACACACATACACAGTGTTTACACAACATTCATACTTCCCAAGCTCACCTATGCCTCCCCCACCTGGTCTTCCTCCCTAAATGCCACACAACGTAAACACCTAGAAAAAGTGCAAAAGAGGGCATGCAAGATTATTCTCTCCCCTTCCTACTCCACATATCAAGAAGCGCTCAACACACTGACCCTTTCGACTCTCACTGACCATCACCACGACCTCATCTGCAAATTTGGTAAGAAGCTTCTACACCATCCCCGACACCGGCTCCTACTACCACCTGAGATCCCTTGCCCGAGAATTGCTGTTCGACACCACAACCGCATCCAGCCCATACGTGCACGAACTGATCGCTATGAGAACAGCCCAGTCCCAACCATTGTAAAAATTATCAATAACTTGTAATAAATCAGTGTATTCACTCCCAGTAAACACTGCTCCTTACACTGTCACTATGTTGAAATGAACTGTAGTTTGAGCTTTTCCCCATCTAGTTATTATATGTCTTATTTGTGTCACTTATGTTACTTGTATATTATTTGTAATTCGTAACCATTCCCCAAATATGTAACTGTATATTTTCAGCCTTCTGGCTGCCAAGCTCTTTCAATAAACCGTTAATTATTATTATTATTACACACACACACACACATACACAGTAGGGTCAAGACCTATTCAGGCGCTGCTCCTGCTGAGCAGCTGCCCCCCTTGGCCATGTTCGGCCCCATTCCCCAAGTCCCTCTCCCCGACCCATCCTCACCACCGGGATATCTACTTAATCAAGTGATAATTTCGTTTCGGAAAGAAGTGGGATCAGTGTTGAACAGTGATGAACAGTGTTTAAGCCAGTGAATTCAGCACTAGACAGTAACAGTGAGAGCCGTGACCCACCAGTGAGATAAGCACCCCTGGGAACCATCCTCTGGCCAGACGGTGTTAATCCGTCTACCCTGGAAACAACAGAGGGCCGGCCGGCTACGAGATAACACAACACCACCCAGCAGAGTGAGGTACTGTGACACCACCCCACCCCACCCGATGTCTCCATGACCACGTGAGGTCCTTTATATCAACACCCGAGGACGAGTTACTACACCACGTGAACACCACACCACCTGGTGTCTCCATGACCAGCCCAGGCCCGGGTTATCAACTGTAAACTATAATAATTTGTATGTTCAATTCATGTTCCTTCTTCCTTCAGTAATGAAAGCTTTTGTTAAACGACCCACCCACCCCATGTCTTTGTATGTAATAAGTCATTTTTGTTCAATGTATATTTTCAGCTTTCGGGCTGCAGAACTTTTCAATAAACCGTTTATTATTATTATTACACACACTACACACACACTGGTCATCAAAAGGCTGGTCTTAATGTATTTGATGAAAGACAAATCAACAGACACATAAGAAACATCCTTAAGGAAACTATTTCTCACAAAACACAGTTAATCAGAGAACATTTTAACATAACAATATGGTATGATATTTTCATATTAATATTCAGATGTGATAAAGCAAAACTCTGATGCTCTGAAAACATTCAAAATAAAAACAATATGTTCCATATTATGTTTAGTATGGTACTCGGAAAAAATGGCACCGAAAAAATGGCACCGGAAAAAATGGCACCGAAAAAATGGCACCGAAAAAATGGCACCGGAAAAATGGCACCGGAAAAAATGGCACCATTTTCATACGAGGAAAAAATGGCACAATAATTTCACTTGGAGCTCACGAACCACAAACAAGCTACGGCGTGCATAGTGTGTTGTCAGTGTTCTTCTGAAGCTCCTGGACGGTACATCGACAACTGTATAAAGGTGAAAATTTTATCGCTATGGAGATCATACAGAGTAATAAGGGTGGTCAGAAACTGCTACTATCTCGGTCGAGTGGCAAACAACCTATGGACCAATACCACAACCGTTCCTGGTCCAGACAGTGACAGCCGTGTTATTATTTTCGCCAGTGAACAGAATTTGTATGTGTTAGCTAGATCTGACATCTGGAGGATGGATGGACATTTTGCCATGGTCCCTCCTAAGTTTATGCAGCGGTTCGTTATTCGTGGTCCACTGGGAGACACTGCAGTCTCCGTTGTATATGCATTACTGTAGCGCAAAACCCAAGACACTTATGAGGAGCTGTTCAAGGTTGTTCTTGACACATGTAGTGTCTACTTTCTCTACCCAGTCCCTTCAACTGTTATGTTAGATTTTGAGCACGCTATTCACCAAGCCATCACGTCTGTCCTCGGCACAGAAGTGACTTGACGTGGTTGCTTCTACAATTTGACTCAGGCATTCTGGAGAAAGATACAAGAACTTGGCCTAACGACGATCTACAAGGACAGTGAGGACGTCAAGCTGTTCTGTGGGATGGTAGACAGTCTAGCTCTCCTCCCTCTTGAGGATATTCCTGCTGGCATCGATTACCTCAGAGACCACACACCAGAAGGCCTGGAGCCCTTCCTCACATACTTCTACCAGATCTACGTGACCGTTAGTTATGGATGAGCCCGGCAATTGCATGATGATGACCAGGTCCAGGCAGTACATCTGCGTCGCTTCCCTCCACGGTACCCCCTAGAAATGTGAAACGTTCATACAGCAGGTTGGTTGAGCATCATCATCAGCCATTGTTAGTCCATGCATAATGGTCTATTAAATTTAGAAGATTTTTCCATAACTTAATTGATGGTATGGATGTGATCAGGTGTAGAGTACCTTGGCTGGTTGAGTCGAGTACAGTTCTTATTCTATTTGTAATTACTTTTGTAAAGAGCTTGTAAACTAGAGAGAGCAGGTTTATTGGTCGGTAGTTCTTTTGATCTGTGTTGCATTCTTCCAGGCTTTTGGAGCAGTATGGGTCTGAAACATTTTGTATAGAGTTTTACGAATTTAATACAAAATATCCTTCATCTTTGATCAGATCAGTGGTTAAGCCATATTCCCCTCCTGCTTTGGCCTTACTCATTTCTTTCAAAACTTTCTTTACTTCCTCTACTACCAGGTTGGTTGGGCACAGCCACCCAACTATATGGCGTTCCATCCAGTGGATCAAATCATCAAAGAATCTCGTAGTGAGCCACCCAGAAAGCGCCAAAAAGGAGATTACAAGAACCTCCAGACAAGGATGAAGACCCTCTGCCAGGACCGCCAAGTTGGTCGCAAGTCATTCCAAGAGTTTGTGCAAGGCGCTGGCTATAACATTCTTTGGAAATCTTAAACAATAATATGCAGTGTGACATTTTTAATTTTGTAATTCATTGATGTACGAGTTTTCACTAACATGCGGTAGAATGTTTTAGTTAGAGGTAATAAATGTTTTATGTTATGCCGTTGATATAACTCTAAGTAAGTTTCAGTAACAAACGTTATAAAATTTTAGCAAAAACCGGTCAATAAAAATTTATGTGCCACTTTTCATAGTCTGATGACTGCCGTTTTTCCTGTGCCATTTTTCCTACATTCGTTTAGTATACATAACATATTGAATTGAATTGAATTTGAATTGAAACATACTGATGATAGAAACACAGTTACCAAGTTACTTTTAAAACAAACGAGTTTTTATGCTATTCTGAACCATACATAAGAACATAAGAAAAAAGGGGTCTGCAATAGGCCGGTTGGCCTGTGCACGGCAGCTCCTGTCGAGAGTTACTACCACTCTCTATCATCCATGAATCTATCTAGCCTCCTTTTGAAACTTTCCAGAGTTCCCGCACTTACTACAAAGTTGCTAAGCTTGTTCCACTCGTCCACCACCCTATTTGTGAACCAGTTCCTTCCTATCTCTCTCCTAAACCTAAACTTATCCAACTTGAATCCGTTGCTCCGAGTCCTATCCTGCTCGGATATTATAAGAACTTTATCTATATCCCCTTTATTGATTCCTTTCACCCACTTAAATACTTCTATCATATCTCCCCGCTGCCATGCACAGGCCAACCGGCCTATTGCAAACTCCATATGTTCTTATGACGCTGCTGTATGTCTAAGACAAATTAGAAGTTGTTCGCCATAACTATCAAACCGTATTCAACAAAAATTAATGTCAGTATGTATGTACACACAGCCGTACAAGAGCCATCAGATCCTCTACTGAAAGTGTAATATATATACAAGTAATTATTAAGTCAACTGTGAAGTCAGACAAGGTGTAACTTACCAAAATTGTGAACCATTGAAGGAACTACAGACGGCAGCAGCTAGCAGGTACTCTGTCCGCCTCCGGAGCCTCGTGTTTACTGTCTGGCTTAACAGCGTGCCAGACGTTCACAAATTATTTATCCCAAAATTATCGTACAGTTGTTCACTATTATAGTTTATTCCTCTAATGTATCGTACACCTCTGGAATAAGTATTTATAGTGTTACGGGTTATGTAAGCTCGTTTGAGCACTAATCCGGCCAGCAAAAATCCCCGCCAAACTGTTGTTCATTTCTCGCAACAACCGAAATCGTGCTGTTTGCTGGACCTGTTGTCAGCCCAACGGCCAGCAAAACGAGCAACATGTGTGGAGGAAAGTGCCCAGTGTGCCGCCGCCTTTATACTACTGGTCCAACAAATTCATGAAAGAATAATTTAAAATACAACACATAAAACGGTGACATTTTTCTATTTATTCGTAACTTTGAAAATTCTTTAGCAATTGAAGATCTGTAGCACAATCCTGCAAGGCGTCAAATGTAGTAACGGGATCCATGGTGAACCTCGTCTAGACACTTTGTTGCGGTTTTCGTTGCGTTTTACAGACGCGTCAACAAAACATCCCAGTGTGACGCAAAATGCCTCGTTTTGCTGGCCAAACATGTTGGGAGGAAAAGTGCCCAGTGTGCCACCGCCTTAACGCTGACTTGGAATATTTTTCTTAAATACTGGGCTGGGGAGGGGCAGGCCGCTATAGACCAACACCACAACTCTACTAATACCAACACATTGAGGCCATACTGTACTGACTAGAAGCGAAGTATTAAGAGGGCGTGACTAATGCTGCCTAGTATACTGCTCTAGTATGACAGGTGTGGCGTGAGGTAAACTAATGTGGCTTTATATCGCTATACAGTAGACTGAATATGTTAGCTGATGTTTATTAAAATGAAAAAGTGGCCAGTTAGAAAAAGCATTGTTGTTGTTTGTTATGTGAACTGTGACCTAAAAGGGGTGCGCGCACACACACACACAACAGGAGGTTATTAAAATATTCATTGTAAAAAATACTCGCAAAATAATTTACTTTTGTCAACATCATTATAACAATAATTATATGACACTTAACCTAACCTCACCTCACTCTACCTGCACCGGACTACACCTCACCTCACTCTACCTGCACCGCACCGCACCGCACCACACCTCACCTCACTCTACCTGCACCGCACCACACATCACCTCACTCAACCTGCACCTCACCTCACTCAACCTGCACCTCACTTCACCTCTATAAACCTCCATTATACCAAACAATAAATACATTGAATCACTTGAAGATCATCCCAACACCTTATTTCGCTTGATGATTAAACACCCTCATGCCATCTGAAGGTGTTAGATTAGGTTAAATTGGGTTAGGTTAGCATTAGATTAACGTTAGATTAGGTTAGAAAGGTTAAATAACTTAGGGTGTGAAATCATCAGGTAATCCATGCGTGTGTGTTTTTTATCTGTAAGTCTTGGGATAATGACGTTAAGATGGTGTGAGGTGTCTTCTTAGTTATGGGGCCGCGTATACCATCTCGTAAGGTGAGCTCTCTCTCTTTCAAACATCTTAAGCAACGCAACTTATTAATTATTCCCTATTTTTAGATTATTTCTATATATCAACTACAAATTTAGCATAGTCTTCTTTTTGTCTCGTGGAGGTACAGTTTTAATACAATATAAACAAACACAGGGTTGCCACATCTCGCGAAATGTTCCAGCCTCTGTACCAGGTGTAAGTGACATCAATCTCTGATATGCCTGAGAGACCGAGATAAATGAGAGATGTGGATGGAGAGGAAGATGGAGGCAAAGGAGAAGGAAGAGGAAGAGAGGTAGGAACAGGGTAAAGGGGGTGGAGGAAAATGAGGGTTTGAGAATGATGGGAAGAAGGGAAGAGAGATGAAGAAGAAGAAAGGAAGTTATAAAAATGGACGATTCTTTATATTTCTATCATCGGACGTTAGAGTCATTAGTTTACACTATTCAGCGTAATCATATTTATTTAATGAATATCATATTAAAGTACTCCCACTTGCCCAAGACCCTGTACAAGATGTGGTACCATTTTCTGTTTCACTTTCTAAGAACGCTTCATTATCTAGAGAGTTTTTATCATTTATTATTGTCTTATTTCCTATGAATGTCTCGCTGTCTGCCACCTTCTCAGATACTGCCACCATCGCTCTGTGGTGTGTAAGAGGCTCGGTCTGTGTCCAGGGTCCACTATAATGACCAGTTTCTTTATCTTGGCACATGATTTTGTTTAGGTAGATCTCCTTCTCTCGGTCGATCTCGATGCCTTGGCCAATCTCTCTGCTGCCTTGGCCGATCTCTCTGCTGCCTTGGCCGATCTCTCTGCTGCCTTGGCCGAGCTCTCTGCTGCCTTGGCCGAGCTCTCTGCTGCCTTGGCCGAGCTCTCTGCTGCCTTGGCCGAGCTCTTTGACTCGGCCATTTTCGGAGTCTTCGCGTTTGGTCACTTCCCAGAGGCTGCCTGACCCCTCCGTAGGATCAAAGGCCTTGTTCACATGACTGATGTAAGCCTTTAGTGACACAGCTCTCGTCTTCCTCTGAAATATTGAGAAAAAGAAGAAGTGTTACTAAAAGGTTCCGACCAACACTAAGTAATTCATCCTCCAACACTGCACTCATCCTCCAACACTGTACTCATACCTCCAACACTGTACTCGCCCTCCAACACTGTACTCGCCCTCCAACACTGTACTCGCCCTCCAACACTGTATTCCCCTCCAACACTGTACTCGCCCTCAACACTGTACTGCCTCTTCCTCCAACACTGTACTCATCCTCCAACACTGTACTCATCCTCCAACACTAAGTAACTCATCCTCCTACACTGTACCCCACCTACACTCACCACCCACCACCCTCCACTCGCCTCAACACCCGCCACTCGCCCTCCAACACCTCAACATGAATAAAATAAACAAAATTAAATGTAAATAAATAGAAAAAATAAAGGAAATAAATTAGAAAACGCGTAATAGGTAGGTATAGGCAGTGGGTAATAAGGCAGTGGGTAGCAAGTAATAGGCAGTGGGTAATAGGGTGTAGGTAATAGGCAGTGGTACAGTAGTAAGGCAGTGGGTGGGGTAGGCGGGTGGCAGTAGGTAAGTAGGCAATAGGGTAGTAGGTAATAGGTAATAGGCAGTGGGTAATAGGTAATAGGCAGGGGGCACAAGGGTAGGGCAGGTGGTAATGGCAGTAGGTAATAGGCAGGGTAGGTAGTAGGTGATAGGCAGTGGGTAATAGGCAGGTAGGTAATAGGCAGTGGGTAAGGGTGGGCAATGGGTGTAGGTAATGGGTAATAGGCAGTAGGAATAGGTAATAGGCAGTGGGTAAATAGGTACAGTGGGTAATAGGTAGGTAGGCAGTATAGGCAGTGGGTAGTGGGTACAGTGGGTAATAGGTAATAAGCAGTAGGTATAGGCAGTAGGTAATAGGCAGTGGGGGCGGTGGAGGTAATAGGGCAGTGGGTAGGTAATAAGCCAGGTAATGGGCAGTAATGGGTAATAGGCAGTGGGTATAGGCAGGTGGGTGTAATAGGCAGTGGGAGGTAATAAGCAGTGGGTAATGGGCAGTGGAGGATGGGTAATAGGCGGTGGGTAATAGGTAATGGGCAGTGGGTAAGGTGGTAGGTGGGTAATAAGCAGTAGGTGATAGGCAGTGGGTAATAGGTAATAGGCAGTGGGTAATAGGAAATAGGTAGTAGGTAATAGGCAGTAGGTAATAGGCAGTGGGTAATAGGTAATAAGCAGTAGGCATAAGTAGTACTGTAGGTAGTGGGTAATAGGTACATAAATCATTTCTCACTATTGATTGTTGTTTTTGGCTTATTATGTTTATTGTATTATTGTATTATTATTATTATTATTATTATTACTATTATTATTATTATTATTATTATTATTATAGCAAAAAGATAAAAAATGTAAGAAATCGTGTGTAATAAGAGGGTAGACGATGATAAACTTAGTGGGGTTTTGGTTTGTTTTTTACGGGGATTAGCCCACCCGAGCACAGGTGGGGCCTGGGGAGCGAAATAATAATAATAATAATAATAATAATAATAATAATAATAATAATAATAATAATAATAATAATAATAATAATAATAATAATAAAATAATAATAAAATAATAATAATAATAAAATAATAATAATACAATAATACTAATAAAATAATAATAATAATAATTAAATAAAAAAATGAAAAAAGATCAATAGCGAGAAACAATATATGTATGTTGTGTTGTCAATAGTAAGAGAGACAATTGAGACCCTGCAGTTGTGTGTAAATGAGGCAGAAAGTCAGATCATCAACCTGGGACTTGGTCACATATGGCAGCAGGGTCTACCATTAGACAACACATTATGCTTCCAATATCTTCCCAGGTAGTGAGACACATATGGCTGAATAAGAGTAGAGGAGTGATATATAATGAGACATATACAATATAGATAGATGTAATATATGGATAACACATTATACATACCACATACACAACTCCAAGACACGAGAACAGTATTAGCTGGACGGTATGAACAGTATCACAGTCACGGTACAGTCAGATTAACAGACAAGACGGTAGCAGACGGACATACAGACAAAGACAGACAGACAGACAGTCACTGCGGCGGCAACAACAGCATTAGTTCTGAACTGGTACAATCCTGGAATTACGAGAAGTTTTTTTTTATGTCTACAACAACAAAAAGCATAAACAATTAAAATATTCGATGGTTTAATTGTCAATAATGACCAAATTATTCCCTAGAGTGAAAATAAGGAGAGAGACTTTTCCTCATATCCTGTTTTAGTCATCCCTTTAATTTATTACATTTTCTCTTATTCGTATTTTTTAGTTTTCTTGATACAATTTCTCTTCGTTTCGTAACTATTCTCGGTTTCATTTTATTTCGGTTTATCTTCGTCTTTACTGGTTTCTTCATTATGCACTTTATCCAATATTTGCTTCCTCATAACCCCTCCCCCCCCCCTTCTTGTCCTCTCTTCTACCTACCTACCTACCTCTCTGTTTCTGTCTCTTCTCGTTTCTCTCTCGTGTTTAAATTTTCCTTTCGTTATTTCTCCTTCATCAAATCTGTTTATATGTCCTTGTCTTTCCTATTACCTTCATGCCTCTCCCTGCTCCCACCTTCCTTGCCTCTTCCCTATCCCCCATCCTACACCTTCCTCCTCACCTTCCTTCGCTGTTGCGCCCTCACCCTCACGTCCTTGGAGGCCAGATAGATCTTGTGGAGGAGGTCAGGTAGGAGACTCGCCACCACCAGGAGGACAGAGGCCAGCATCAGTGACCAGCTCTTGAACATGAGGTAGTAGGTCCAGTACACCCCATAGTTGTTGAAGGCGTCACTGGATAGATGGATAGAGAGGTTACACGTAAAGTTGGAGGTCAATTCAGAGGGTATGGGAAGTTAAGTGAGGCCGGTTCAGAGGTTATCAGAGGTCATTAACAGATATCAGGTGAGGTTGGAGGCCGATTTAAAAGGTAAGAGTCACAACTTGGCTATTGATTACACTTTGACCAACAAAAAAATGACTTAGCTTCAAGTTAGGTATGGTAAGGTTAGGTTAGGTTAGGTTAGGTTTGGTATTGTTAGGTTAGGTTAGTTTAGGCAAGGCTAGGTTAGGTATGGTTAGGGGAGTAGATTATTAAAGAAATGTAACATACGTAAATATTAGGAATTATATAATGTTAAATGATTCATAATAGATGACAAGAACCGAGAGTTTACCATGTTGCTATACAAAGACGTCTCTAAAACCTAACCTAACCATACCAAACCTAGACTAACCTAACAGTACCAAACTTAACCTAACCTAACCATAACAAGAAAGAACTCACAGTAAGACGCCCTGGTAGATGAGGGATAGACCGACGTAGCCCACGAAGGTCAGCAGAAGAGCTAACAAGAACAACAGAGTGAAGTAATGCGACTCCAAAACCAGCTGTAGAGAAACACACACAAGTTAGTTTCTACTAAGTTTGGATTTTTTTTTGGGCTGTGGTGTTGTAATTGAAAGTGGTGTGGTGTGTGGTGTTTTGTTTTTTTCTCGCCCCCTCCCCATGTTGGGTGAGCAGAGTAGCTCCTCGAAAGGGCTGCTCAGTCGCACAGACAGGACCAGATTGCACTGCTGCCTTGATCCCAGCGCATAAACAACCATCTTATCTGTGCCGCCCATGTGCAGAGTTGTGACTAGAGACTCCCGGCAGTCATCTCTGGCTGTCCCCATCGCCACTCGTCCGTCGCCATAGGACTTTTGGGGGTATAGGGTTTTGATGATGATGAGAGGTATGGTGAGCTGGGTGATGGCTGCACGTGGGTTGATTTGTGTGGTGAGGCAGGAACGCAGGCTGCAACCACACATCTTGACTCTCCCTTTTCCTCATCCAGTGATGCAAATGTTGCAATGACTGGGGAGAGGGAGAGTTACAATGGACTGCCAATAGCCCAGTTTGTTGGATTTCACCTAAGTAGCCTGTCCATCAGGCATTGCCTTCATCCTCCGGTGTAGTCGTTGGGTTCCCATGGTGGTCACCTCTTCCGCCTATACTGCCGTTGGGGTCTTGTTGGAGCTCTGTGAGCATGTCTGCCTGATTGGGCAACCGCACTCAGTTAGGTCATCCTTATGAGGTCGAAAACACAATCAAAATCACAGATCCAAACAAAAACAAACCATACAACCTCTTATGGTCGCTGTATGGAATGCCAACACTCTTCTAGATACTGGCACAAATGCGCATCCTGAAAGAAGAACTGCCCTTGTGTCAAAAGAGCTGGCTAGGTATAACATCGACATAGCAACCATCAGTGAGTCCCGGCTCCCAGACGAGGGTCAACTCACAGAACGGGGGTCTGGCTGTACCTTCTTCTGGAAGAAAAACCCTGCTGTATAGAGAAACAGCACTTATGGAATTGGGTTTGCCATCCACCAACGAAACATACACAGGCTAACTGAAATTCCGGTTGGGATCAAGGAGCGCCTCATGACGCTCCAAGTCCCACTGAATCCCTCACGTCATGCCTTCTTCATCAGTGCATACGCCCCAACACTGGATGCAGATGATGACATCTAGGAGGCCTTTTACGCCGACCTCGACAGTGCTAACCTCTATCCCCAGAGAAGACAAGGTTGTCCTAGTAGGTGACTTCAATGTCAGAGTTGGCAGAGATGCTAACATTTGGCAGGGAACCATACAGAGAAATGGACTAGGCAAGTGTAATCACAACAGCCTACTCCTCCTCATCAAGTGTGCTGCACACAACCTCACTATCACCAATACCTTGCTTAGGCAGGCCGACAAGTTCAAGGGTTCGTGGTAACACCTACGATCCAAACTCTGGCATCTCATTGACTACATCAATGTCAGAGAAAGAGATCGCCGAAATGTCCTCATCACCTGTGCCATGCGTGGCTCGGACCACTCTGAGACTGATCATCTGCTTGTCAGAGCCAAGCTCTCACTTCATGTACCCCACAACGGCGAAAGCACATGCTTTCAGAGAGCAGCTCGAACAAGGGCTGATAAACAACCCGACAACGAACAACCCAAACCCCAGTGCCGAATGGGGTGTTCTCAACACTATCATGACAAAAACCTACAGACAGACCCTCGGCCAGATCGAAAAAATACACCAGGACTGGTTTGATGAAAATGACCCGGAAATCAATATACCCATCAATGATAAACGTGTTCCTTTAACTGACTGGCAGAACAACCCTCAGTCTCAGACCAAAGCCGATACCTTCCGAAAGAAGAAGGCTGTAGCCCAGCGAGAACTTTGCAATCAAAAGAATGACTAGTTTAAAAATAAAACACGTGAAACACAAAAACTTGCAGATCAGCACAAGATGCACAAATTTTTCAATTCCACCAAAATAATTTATGGGCCAATTATTCGTGGCGCAGCCCCCTACATTCATCCGACGGTAACTCCATAATTAAAGATGATGAAGGCCTTCTTCAATGCTGGAAAGAGCACTACCATTCACTGCTCAACCGAAACACTGATGTGGATGTCCTGACTACCCAGCAGGTCCGTCAGCACCCAGAACTGACCCACCTCAGCTATCCTCCATCCCTGGATGAGGTAGCTACTGCCATTAAACCGATGAAAAATAACAAAGCCTCAGGGCCTGATGGGATCCCAGCCGAGGTTTATAAAGCAGGAGGACCTTTGCTTACCAGTCGTCTCTACTCTCTCCTGGAGAATATATGGGAAAAGGAGGAAATCCCCCAAGCTCTTAAAGACGACCCCATCGTCAGTATTTATAAGAACAGGGGAGACTGGTCAGACTGTGGCAACTACCGCGGGATCTCGCTGCTATCAATAACTGGCAAGATTATCGCCTTAGTCCTCCTAAACAGACTTGTTCCCGAAGCGGGAAAACTTCCTCCCAGAATCTCAATGTGGCTTTAGACCATCACATAGCACCACTGACATGAACTTTGCTGCACGCCAGTTACAGGAAAAGTGTCGAGAACAGCGTCGTGACCTGTACATCGCTTTCATCGACCTAACCAAGGCCTTCGACTCGGTCAACAGGAAAGCCCTCTGGTGGAATCTCACACGTTGGCTACCCACCAAAATTCAACGCTATTGTGAGGCAACTCCACTATGGCATTAACGGCAGTGTCCTCCACAATGACACCCAGTCTGAGTTCTTCCCCATCCAAACAGGGGTTAAACAAGGGTGTGTACTGGCACCAACTCTCTTTTCCACTTTCTTGGCTGCCTTCCTTACTCGGGCCAGAGCCAATTTAGCCGGTGGGGTGGACATCGAGTCCCGGATGAAGGGTCTTTTCAACATAAGACAACTCCAGGCAAGAACAAAGGTGTCGGCAGCTTCCGTTACTGAATTTCAGTATGCAGACGACCTGACTCTTGTTGCTCACACTGAACACCTATGCAGGTGGTGGTTGTACGCAAGACGCTGATCCTCTTTCAACCTGCCCCTGGTTCAGCCACACCTCCACCATCCATCCAGCTTAACAGTACCACCCTATCTAATGTTATCCATTTTTGGTATCTCGGCTTCCATCTGTCCACCACCGTGGACATCGATGAAGAGATTCAACATCGGATCAGATGTGCATCTCAAGCCTTTGGCAGACTCTGAAACCGTGTCTTCAGCTGTAGGGAGCTGAAATTATCAACAAAGTTACAGGTATATCGAGCAGTGGTCCTCCCCACCCTGCTATATGGCAGTGAGACATGGGTCACATACAGGAGGCACCTCAAGGCACTTGAAAACTTTCACCAACATAGTCTATGTTCCATCCTTCGAGTTTGCTGGGAAGACAAGAGAACAAATGCCAGTATTCTTGCTGACACCAACTGTAAGAGCATCGAGGCTACAATTATCCATGAACAACTACGCTGGACTTGCCATGTTACCCACATGGACAACAGTAGACTGCCAAAGCAGCTACTTTACAGCCATCTACCGAATAGTAAACATAACGCTGTCGGGCAACTGAAAAGGTATACGGATAGTCTTAAAACAAACCTGAAAAGTGCCAAATCGACCCCCTCACCTGGGAGACGATTACTCTACACCGTAACGCTTGGAGGATCACCACACGAGAAGTTGTCAATACTTTCGATTTAGCCCAACTGCAAACCGAGGGAGACAAGCGGCAATGCTAAAAAGACGCTGCCACCGCCCCTCCCGCACTAGATGTAGCCCTACACATGTGCAACATCTGTGAACGACCCTGCCGGTCCAGTATCGGCCTCTTTAGTCACCTCAAAACTCACCAATGAAGGTGACATCCTTAATAACTCATATCATTGTATCATAGCTGGATGATCGTTATACTCGATTCCGAGTGACAGCAGTAATCGGCACGATGGACTTCAAGACCGAGTATGTAACAGGAAAGGTGAATGAGTGGGTTAGGGAAATCCAAGCTCTGTCTGAGATTGCTAATACAGAGCCACATGCGGATTTTGCAGTATTCACCCATGGAGTCAAGCATCGTTGGAACTACCTGATGCGTACTATCCCTGATATCGGACCCCTCCTCCACCCTCTGGAAGAAGATATCAGAGTCAATTTCATTCCCAAATTAGTGAAACACCCTCACTTAGCCGCAGCAGAAAGATCACTCCTTGCACTACCACCGAGACTGGGAGGAATGGAATTGACCAATCCCAAGGAGATTGCTGCCACCGAACATCAAAACTCAGTTAAGCTCATGGCAGCCCTCACGGACCACATAATAGCTCAGAACGCAACAGGGGAGGTGGATACCAGTGAAGTAAACAAGATTAGAAGGTCCATTACGACAGAACGACAGCACGGCCAAAGTGATAAGTTGCAGCAACTGTTGCTGCAAGTACCAGAGAAATTGAAAAAAAAGTAGCTATAGCGCAGGAGGTGGGCGCCTCGAACTGGTTAACTACGTTACCGATAAGGGCAAATGGTTTCAGTCTCAATAAACAAGAATTTACAGATGCCATTGCTCTAAGGTACGGTCAGCCAGTAGAAAGTTTGCCCTCCCATTGCATGTGTGGCTCTTCCTATGATGGCGATTACGCCATGGTGTGCAAGAAAGGGGGCTTCATATGCATGAGGCATGACGAGGTAAGGGACCTCACCGCAAATCTGTTGAAGGAAATCTGCCGGGATGTCATGGTAGAACCGACCCTCCTTCCATTGGATGGTGAGATCTTCCAACATAGGACTTCAAACACATCTAACAAAGCCCGTGTGGACGTCAGTGCTCGAGGATTCTGGACGCAGGGACAGCGAGCTTTCTTCGACATCAGGATTTTGATCCCATGGCCGCATGTCACCATAACCTAGCTCTCGATGCTGCACATAGGAGGAACGAGAACGACAAGAGAAGGGCATATGGGGAGAGAATTCAAAACGTTGATCAAGGCAGCTTCACTCCTCTAGTGTTCACAACCTCTGGTGGGATGGGACCAAGTGCAAGATGTTTCTGCGCCAGACTCGCGGAGGTGCTCTCCGAACAGAAGCAGCAGCCTGTGGTGGGATGAAATCCTAGACAAGGTTCTTGAAACTCCAGGGCACGAGCAGTAGATATATTCAATAAGTGGTACAAGACTTGGCAGGATAGCCGACCGATACAGAAGCGAGCACAAGGGACTCCGTGCCGTAGGCAGGCCGAAGCCGATCTGAGGGAAGTTAACTGGCTCGGCAAGGAGAGTTGCTAGACATTACTAGGACAATAAATGAGGTCTTCTAGTTACTTGACTAGCGCGGTACAGACATAGTACATCGGGACATAGTAAGTGAACATAGGCATTAGACATAAGCATAGATATCAAACATGCTATAATAATATGTAGTAATACAGACATGTGAATAAATGGTACAATGAATGGTAACAGAGTCTTGGCGTCAGGTGTGTTCACATATCTTGGTATTTACATATCTATACACAGCCCAGAAGTTACGTTACAGCCTGGATGAGATGTCGACTGTCCTTCTCTCTCCTTCGGCCGGCTTTGCTCTGCCTCAGGGGAACGAAGCTTCTGCCCCAATCCCGACAACTGCTGCAGATATTGACTATGAGGCTACAGTCACTGAATGCCGCATAGATCTGCGGCTCAACTAATTCAACACAGAGGATAGCTACTTATGTATTAGGATATTTAATATCAAGGTAATAAATTGGTGGCGAAGGTGTGGCTATTGGGGGAGGCTGGAGGCCACGTTAAAAAAAAAGTAGTAGTAGTAGCATTAAAGTGTGGTGTGGTGTGTTGGTGGTGTGTTGGTGGTGGTGCTTGTGGTGTGTAGGTGGTAGTGTATTGATGATGATGGTGGTGGTGTGGTGGTGGTGTGGTGTGTTGTGTTGGTGTATTGGTGGTGGTGCTGGTAGTGATCATTTTTATTAATATTATTTTGTTATCATTATTATTATTATTATTATTATTATTATTATTATTATTATAGGAAGGGTTATCATGAACATTCCACTAATTCAGGTGTACACAGATTATGAAGGCCAACACTCGCCTTAAAGTTGGTGATGAACACATAGAGAGAGACGAGTGTGGTGCCCAAGAGGTAGAGGTCTGAGGTCTGGCCGTCAGGAAGCCCACAGGTGTCGTCACTACAGACCAACATCAACCCGAAGTAGACTACACAGGAGTGCCACAACGCTGTTCGGGAGAGGGTTGGGTTGACTAGGTTAGGTTAGGTCAGGTCAGGTCGGGTTGGGTTAGGTCAGGTCAGGTCAGGTCAGGTCAGGTCAGGTCAGGTCAGGTCAGGTCAGGTCAGGTTAGGCTAGGTTAGGTTAGATATAAGAAACCTCGGCTTGTTTCACCGTAAAATTATCCATCCTAATATTAATCTAACATAACCTAAGATAAGCTGATCAAACCTAACAATACCCTACCCAACCCAACCCAACCTAACCTGGCCCAAACCAGCCTAACCAAAACCTACGTAACGACGACCCAACCTACCCTAGCCAAGAGCTACGAAACAACGACCCACTTACCAAAACAGTTCCACCTGCAGAAACTCAACCAGGACATAGCCGAGTTGTGAGCGATCCTCTGGTAGAGTTCAGGGCGGTTCAGCAGTAGAGACGGCGGGAGGTTCTGATCCAGGAGGCCGTACACGATGACTGGCAGAGACGTGAAGGTAATGTTGTACATGGTCAGTGATAAGCTGTCATACACACTCTGTTGGGAGGGAAGGTAGAGTGTGTGAGAGGTGGGTAGAGTGTGTGAGGAGTTGGGTGAGTGTGTGAGGAGGGTGGGGTGTGTGTGGGGGGTAGAGTGTGTGGAGGGTGGGGTGTGTGGGGAGGTGGGGTGTGTGTGTGAGGGGGAGTAGGGGAGGTGGAGTGTGTGGGGAGGGTGGGGTGTGTGTGTGAGAGGGGGATGGGGTGTGTGGGTGGTGGAGTGTGGGGAGAGAGGGTGGGGTGTGTGTGTGGGGAGGGGGTGGGGGTGTGTGGGGAGGGTGGAGGTGTGTGTGGGGAGGGGGGTGGGGTGTGTGGAGGGTGGGTGGAGTGTGGGGAGGAGGGTGGGGTGTGTGAGGAGAGGGGGTGGTGTGTGAGAGTGGACAGGGTGTGGGAGGAGGTGGGTGGGGTGTGGAGGAGGGTGAGAGTGGGGGTGAGTGTGGGGAGGGGGTGGAAGTGTGTGTGGGAGGGTGGGTGTGGGGAGGGTGGAGTGTGTGAGAGGGAGGAGGGGGTGGGGGTGTGAGAGAGGGAGTGGGGTGTGAGGGAGGAGAGGTGGTATGTGGGGAGGGTGGGTGTGTGGGGAGGAGGGTGGGTGTGTGGGGAGGATGGGTGTGGGGAGGGTGGGGTTGGAGGGGGTGGTGGTGTGGGAGAGGGGGGGTGGGTGTGTGAGGAGGGAGAGAGTAGGAGAGGTATGGAGAGGAGGTATGGAGAGAGAGAGAGAGACAAAACACTGACGGGCTTCTGTCACGTGCAAGCTTGTGCTCTCTGTCTCACTCACTGTCTCATGTCTTCACCTGTCTGTCTCTGTTTTTTAATTTTCTCTGTCTCTGTTCTTCTCTCTTTTTCTTCTCCATCTACCTCCTTTCCTTCACCCTGGGTGAGAAGGCGCTCCAGATGGCGAAGAACACCTGCGGAGTGATGAAGGCGACGTTCTTGTAGAAGGAGTACTGGACGAGTGTGTTACCTCTCACGTAAAAGTAGTCAAAATGGCATGGAGCAGCAACACCCTCTTCAGGAAGCGGAACCTGGCGAAGGCAAAGTCTGAACACCTCACTGCCTGGCGACCTTCCTTGCCCATAACACCTGTAGGGGGAGGCGACGAAGGCTGTGGTATTATGTGGAGGATGTATGAAAGAACATAACCTAATATGACCTGACCTAACATGATCTAATCTAATCAAACATAACCTAACCTAACCTAACATGACCTGGCTTGACCTGACCTAACATGATCTAATCTAATCAAACATAACCTAACCTAACATGACTTGACCTGACCTAACATGACCTAATCTAATCAAACATAACCTAACCTAACATGACCTGACCTAACCTAACCTGACCTGACATGACCCCTGAACCCTAACCTGGCCTAAGAACACTTTCATTTCTAACCTCAAAAAGTTGTTAATCTTCAGGTTAATAGTGTGTGAATTTGTTAGAGAAAAAGAAAAAGAACAAAAAGAAAAAAAGAAAAAAAGAAAAAGAAAGAAAGAAGGACTGACCATACCAACGTGAGCTTCCTGGATCATGGACACGTCGTTAGCTCCCGTCTGTGCTGCACACACTGGACGTTCTTGACGTCTTCACCAACCTCTGGTCTGAAACAGTGGTTGTACACGTGAGACCTTACACACACCGTCTCTCACACACACACCCCCACACCACACCTCACACACACACACACACAGTCAACTACACACACCGACAGATCATCACTCACTCCTCCTCACTCACACACACACACACACACATCAGAGGCTCATGGTATCGAGGGAAAGTTTTAAATTGGGATAAAATCATGGCTCACCGATAGAACGCAGAGGGTCAGCGTAGATAGTGTTGTAAATCTGGTGGGGCCGTGTAACTGGTGGGGTTCTCTAGGGGGTCAGTACTAGGCCCTCTTGTTCATAATCTCTACATAAACGATCTAGATACTGGGATCAGCATTGTTGACATAAGCAACAGGTTTGCGGATGACACCAAATAGGGCAGTGGATTAATTCAGGGCAGGATGCAAAGTAATTGCAGGAGGATCTAAATAATCTGCAGGGGTGGTCTGAAAAATGGAAATGAAATTCAACACCAGCAAGTGCGGCGTAATAAATATTAGAAGAACAAATACTGTTGATAATGCTTAGCAGCCTTAACAACATCAACCTAGAAGTCGACTTGCGAAAGACTTAGGAGTTGTATAAAGCGGACCTACGGCTTAAAAACGATTCGTTAATGTTCGAAATAAGGCAAACAGAGTATTGGGTTTTTTATATCTAGAGGTCTTATTGCAGCGTATATCTTGCAGGCTAGTCAGGCCGCACCTCGATTATGCGGTTCAGTTCTGGTGCCCTTATTATAGAATGGATATAAATTCACTAGAGTCGGTGCAGCGAAAGAATGACAAAAAATGATCCCGGGACAGAAACCTTCCACCATATCAGGATAGGCTAAAAACTTAATTGCATTCCCTAGAAAGACGAAAGAGTGCGGGGAGATATGATAGAAGTATTTAAGTGGGTGAAAGGAATCGTAAGGGATATAGATAAAGTTCTTATAATATCCGAGCAGGATAGGACTCGGAGCAACGGATTCAAGTTGGATAAGTTTTGGTTTAGGAGGAGATAGGAAGAACTGGTTCACAAATAGGTTGGTGGACGAGTGGAACAAGCAACAACTTTGTAGTAAGTGGGAACTCTGGAAGGTTTCAAAGGAGGCTGGATAGATTCATGGATGATGTAAATGTGGTGTAACTCTCAATAGGAGCTGCCATGCAGAGTCCAACCAGCCTTATTGCAGACTCCTTCCACTGTTCTTATGTTCTTATAAACAGTCCACTCACCTCAGCCTTCTGCAGGTGGCATTCTACAACAGACTACAGCGGTAACACCTCCGACAAACACTGTAGAATTCCTCTTCAAGGTTCTCCAGAAGAATGTGTGGCGAGGTGCCGTCACGCTGACCAGACCGTGCTGTGGTCTCCCTCTGTCTCTCCTGCCTGGTGGTAGAGAGACGGTGGTGAGGGAGGAGAAGGGGAAGGCGGGGAGTGAAGGGAAGGGGGAGGCGGGAGTGAAGGAAGGGGGAGGCGGGGTGAAGGAAGGGGAGGCGGAGGAGTGAGGAAGAGCGGGATGTGAAGGAGGGGGGGGCTGAAAGGAGTGAAGGAAGAGGAGGCAGGGAGTGAAGGAAGGGGAGGCGGAAAAAATTTTACTCTTAGAAAAAAGTGGAGAAAAGTTTTAATTAAAACAAGACAATAAACAAGAACTTCGTCTGTTATAATACCAGAATGACAGAGTTACATAAGCAGAAACTAAGAGATAAATAAACACGATGCATAGAGAAAACAATTAAATAGTATGATAAAATGTCTGCATTATAAGAATAATGTGAAAAAGATAATGACAAAAGTAAAATAAAAAATAAAATCAAGAAATTAGAAGTTGGTAAAATACTGTATTTGACGAGGCGTCCATAACCCCTACAACTGATGACGTTAGGCTACCTCTACATTAACAGCTGAATAATGTCACAAACAACACGTCACAAACAACACGTCACAAACAACACGTCACAAACAACACGTCACAAACAACACGTCTATTAGCACGTCTAAAGCACGTCACAAACAACACGTCACAAACAATACGTGACAAACAACACGTCACAAACAACACGTCTAAACAACACTTCACAAACAACACGTCACAACAACACGTCACAAACAACACGTCTAAACAATACGTCACAAACAACACGTCACAAACAACACTAAAATCCCGCAAATATGATTCTTGAAGGTCAGCAAACACATTATCCAAGTAAAGAGACTTACCAGCATCTGTAGTACAGACTCGCCTGGTGGAGGTCATGGCAGGCGAGAGGGCAAGACGGTCTGCCTTTAAGTGACAGAATGCAATGTTGACCGCAGTCTCCACCTTGTCTCCAGTGAGCACCCATACCTGGGGGACATAAAGTGCTATACCACCTGGGGACACGGGCAATACGTAAC